CTTACCTCAGACTGACTCGTATAATAAATTTATTTGTCCACATCAACCAAAATTGACCATAATAGCACTTTATTATGTAAATCTATATTGCTGCATATTAAATGAGTTATATTTTCATGTAAGAATGGATTGTATAATACAAATTATAGCAATATTGGAACATTATAACTACAAAAAATTTTCTGCATCAATTTAGAGTGCCAGCATGTCCTCTTTTTATCCAAAATATTGAATCGTTAACAAATTTCAGTAGTTTTCTTACCTCAGACTGACTCGTATAATAAATTTATTTGTCCACATCAACCAAAATTGACCATAATAGCACTTTATTATGTAAATCTATATTGCTGCATATTAAATGAGTTATATTTTCATGTAAGAATGGATTGTATAATACAAATGATAGTAAAATTGGAACATAATGACTAAAAAATTTTGTACACATCAATTTAGAGTGCCAGCATGTCCTCTTTTTATTCAAAATATTAAATCGTAAACAAATTTCAGTAGTTTTCATTCCTCAGACTGACTCTTATAACAAAAATTATTTGTCCACATCAACCAAAACTGACCATATTTGCACTCTATTATGTAAATCTTATAGTCACATAGTATATCAGTAATAATTACAAGTAAGGATGGATTGTATAATACAAATGATAGCAATATTAAGACATAATGACTAAAAAAATTTTGTTCGCATCAATTTAGAGTGCCAGCATGTCCTCTTTTTATTCAAAATATTGAATCGTAAACAAATTTCAGTACTTTTCATACCTCAAACTGACTGGTATCATTAACAAAAATGATTACCGGTAAGTTATTTGTCCGCATCAACCAAAACTGACCATATTAGCACTTTTTTATGTAAATCTATATAGCTGCAAATAAATGAGTTATATTTTCATATAAGGATGGATTGTATAATACAAATGATAACATTACTGGAACATAATGACTAAAAAATTTTGTTCGCATCAATTTAGAGTGCCAGCATTTTAAACAAAACTATTTAACGGCATCATTCAACACTCACATGACTGATTCATGTACTTTATAATGAAAAATATGAGAAGTTCTCTTCTTGGAATAGTATACTGTTAATATATTATGTAGGTTGATTGATTTTGTTTGTAGCATAATGTCCAGTGGCAATATTTCATTCATGTTCAGATCGAGTATATTTTTCGGACGTCCCAAATATCATTTATAATCGTTATGGATAAGTCTGTTTAAATTGAAGAGATCGGAGATGGTACAAATGTACATACTTATACAACACTTTATTAATATCCCTTTCAATACACTGTACAATTTTCGTTTGAACATTTGGCAAAACAGAAACTTTAATCATGTTAATCCAATCAAACAAGGTGAATTACGATTAAAAATAATGCATCGAGTTATACCTCATGGTATATAGGATTTCGAAGAGACACTTCAAAATGGGGAACGAAGCAACGTAAACAATGATGTTTATATCCCATCATATACAAACATTTTTCCGATGTGTTGGATAACCTTTCTATCCGCCTCGATATTTGTACATGTAACTTTTGAAAAGAAAATATAGAAAATCTGCTAATCTGTAAAGTTTTTGGAACTGATTTTTTGAAATTTAATAAAAATTAATATTTCGAATTAAAAGTGTTTTTGAATTGTTCTGGTTTGAAACACATATACGTAAAATATTAAGATAAAAGTCGTTTTAATAAAATAAATGTACAAATGAACACAAAATTTATTTCTTAATTTACACAATAAGTTAACGCGAAAACTAAACGCGCATTTACTTTCAAGTGCACATAAAAATACACTTGTGAAATCTGTAGTAAACGCCCGTTTACTTTTAAGTGCACGTAAAATAAATTTGTGAAATATGAAGTAAACGCCCGTTTACTAAACGGACACAGAGTAAACGCCCGTTTACTCGGGTAGACATTAGAAATTTCCGTTTTGACCGTGTTAACGTAATTATAGTAAACGCGAAAATTGAAGTAAACTAACGAAATATTTGCACGCCTCGTTAACTTGCGTTTACTTTATGTAATGCTTGGTCTGCATCCAACTGTAGGAGAATGGAAATGAAAAATTCAGCAATTTTTCCATTTGTAAAGGGGCATAACTCTAGAACTGTACAAGTGAAGCGACCAAAATTAAAACTTGATCTGTGTTTTGTGGTAATAAGCATAGTGTATAAGTTTCATAACATTTAGTTGAGGCATACTAAAGTAAGAGAACAGAAAACAACTTTGGGACGGACGTACAAACGGACAAGGGTAAAACTTAATGCCCCTCCGCTACGGCGAGGACATAAAATTTCCTAAACAACCTTTACAATCCAAAAAATTCGTAAGGGTTCCGCGGAACCCAGTGTCTCGCCTACTTTTTCTGTTAATCGCAGGCTCAACAAAAATGAGGAAGTAAATCAATAAAAATATTCCTCTTGATACTATCTTTTGATTGTAAGAAGCTTCTGTCCAAGTTTGGTAAAAATCCAGGATAGTTTATGAATCGAATAAATGTTTAAAAACGTTAACTGCAAACTGAATGTAATGTTTACTGGAAGAAAACAAAATTTCCTTCTAGATACTAGCATTTGATCATAAACAAGCTTCTGTCCAAGTTTGGTACAAATCCAAAATAGTATAAGAAAGTTATTAAAATTTTAAAAACTTTAACCACAGAGTGAATATGTTGTTTCCTGGCAGAAAATCTAAGTCCATTTAAAAGTAAAATACTGAAAAAATGGATTTATTTTTTTACAAAATTTCCTTCTAGATACTAGCTTTTGGTCATAAACAAGCTTCTGTCCAAGTTTGGTACAAATCCAAAATAGTATAAGAAAGTTATTAAAATTTTAAAAACTTTAACCACAGAGTGAATGTGTTGTTTCCTGGCAGAAAATCTAAGTCCATTTAAAAGTAAAATAAGGAAAAAATGGATTTTTTTTTTTACAAAATTTACTTCTGGATACTATCTTATGATCATAAACAAGCTTCTGTCCAAGTTTGGTAGAAACCCAGGATAGTTTAAGAAAGTAATTAAAATTTTAAAAACTTTAACCACAGAGTGAATGTAATATTTCCCGGCAGAAAAACTAAGTCCATTTATAAGTAAAATACGGAAAAAATGGAATTTTATTTTTACAAAATTTACTTCTGGATATTATCTTATGATCATAAACAAGCTTCTGTCCAAGTTTGGTAGAAATCCAGGATAGTTTAAGAAAGTTATTAAAATTTCAAAAACTTTAACCACAGAGTGAATATTTGTGGACGCCGCCGCCGCCGCCGCCGACGACGCCGACGGAATGTAGGATCGCTATGTTTCGCTTTTTCGACTGAAGTCGAAGGCTCGACAAAAAAACCTCATGCTGAGTCACTTAAGTCGAGCGCACCCTAGAATGTGTACTTGAATAGGTCCATATTTGTACTTGTTTTTATTTAAACCAATATCTTCATTTATAAACTTGTTTAGGGAAATCATTGCTAGCACTGCATGCAATAATCCTCTATCTTTTAAGCAACACATTGTCAAATATTAAGAGTACAAAGGGAAAGGCTGTGGATTTTTTATAAAATTTCCATGTTTAGCATTGGAACAACAACAGGGTACATAGTCCTTTACCTGATAGTGGAGAGAAGAATGGATTCACACATCGACAGGTAAATATCTGATAGGGGAGAGAAAAATGGATGCACACATTGACAGGTAAATACCTGATAGGGGAGAGAAGAATGGATGTACACATCGACAGGTAAATACCTGATAGGGGAGAGAAGAATGGATGCACACATCGACAGGTAAATACCTGATAGGGGAGAGAAGAATGGATGCACACATCGACAGGTAAATACCTGATAGAGGAGAGAAGAATGGATGCACACATCGACAGGTAATACCTGATAGGGGAGAGAAGAATGAATGCACACATCGACAGGTAAAACATAATGTAGGTGGAGAAAACTAATTGAAATATGTCCAAAATAAGAAGTGCACTGTGATTTTAAGATGAAGAACAGCAAGAAAAGTGCTGTTCCTTTGCTTTCTGTGTCTTTTGCTATACATATACTGATTTTGCTTCATGGATGGATACTCCATATCCTTTCTTTTCTATTACATTTAAATCTTGGTTCTATCAAAGTCCAAAAATTGAACAATATTGAAGAAAAACTATTGGAGTTACAGATAACGCAATTTAAGTACACTCTGTAGCTATATTTTGAATATCTAAGTGTATATTTCATTGCTACATTTCATCAAATATTCAAGAATAGGACCTATAGAGTTTTGTGCTGAATGCACTTTACTTTTTATCTCAAGAGAAGTAACAAGTGAAACTGTGAGCTACTGCTCACTGATGATACCCCAGTGCAAAACTGGATAATTTTAATAGTGTAAAAAATATGTAAGTGTTCGGTAAACAGGAAGCTGTTGAGTGATGAATCTGAAAACGCATCACACGGTATAGCTGACTTATATAAACCTTGAAACCAAATTTCAGAAATCCTTATGATGCAGTCACTGAGAAAGATGTGACGAAAAATATTCATGGGATGGACTGACGGATGGACAGACAGAGGTAAACAGTATACCCCCACTTTTTTATAGCGGGGGTATAATAACATTTGGAAAATTAATAGCCAACAAACCCAGCCTTTGATTGCATGAATGGAATCTTTACCCCCCAAAATGACCAATTTTCACATGGGAATTCTGGGAATAATTAATTAAACTCTGATCAAAGTAAGAGGTTAAAATTTTCAATCTGTGTGCAATCACTGTGCAACAAATGTTGGGAGAAAAGCCGCGGGAGATATATATGACACAAACTAGGTACCCTCTATGTAATTCTGATAAACAGTATAGAAGTTACTAGACCATCTCACCTTTGGCGACTTAATATGACCTACACAACCAAGTGATTGCAATTGTCTATAGCTACACTGACCCTCTGGGTCATATGGGCTAAACACTTTATAAATAATTAAAATAAATAATCATCAATATTTGTTTATTCTTCATCAATATCCAACAAAACTATACATTTTTGTAAGCTGAACATATTTAATAAATAGTAAAAAACATTTACCAATACTCTATTGAAACATATAAAGTTAATTGAATAGGTAAAAATTTCCTTTTATAACAATATCAATACATAAACATTAACAAATATTTCTTTATTCTTTATGTGAGGAATTATAATCCATACATTGTTGCACTAAGGGTTTCTATTTCTTTAGTAATATTTTTAAAATCAAATAACTTTTGGTTTTTCATATTGGATAAGCTTAATATACCACTAAAAAACTTAATTTGAAATTGGTTCTTATCAGCTGTACTTGATATAATGTTTAAACTAAAGTCAACAGTAATTAACCTATGTTCAAATCTCATTTAATTCATCAAGAAAATACAAATCAAGGTAGATAAACAACAACAAAAAATGGACGGATTTGCATGAATTCCAAAAAAAAGGCAAGACCGTCTGTGTACACAATGTAAGCATCTCCTGCTATGTAAGCATTATCCCTCATGCAAATCCACACTCGGTCAAATGTCACAATCTTTAATGGGACGTATGATGACCACCAACAGCTTTATCTATTCAAGTTCTTTTATTCTATTGTGCAGAAATCCTTCAAACCTTTTTTTAGAATAAGCCACAACTGTTTTCTCACCCAGCAATTAAGAGCACAAAATTAGACTTTCTACCATAATTTCAGTGGTCTTAGTTGTTAAGTTGGACTAAAAAAATTGGCTTTCTATGATTAAAAGGTTTTCTTCAATTTTTGGTTCCCAAAACAGAATATATGGGCAAAAGCCATAGTGTATGCATGTTGAAGCCATTTAAAAATCTTTATTCATACATTTAAACCTAAGTGGACTACACCAAACTTATGTTTTCCCTACTTTTATCTGACTATTGGACATTAAAGCATCAATGTTAAGCAATCATTAATCAATCAATCATTTAGGAACGTATCAATGACTGTTTAACATGTTAACTTTTACAGAAGTCTGTCAAATATGGAGATAAAAGAAATTAAAACGAACCTATTCAATACAATGTTTCTGCATGCAAAATTTCAGCAGACCCTCCATTTAAAGATTCCTAAGATAAACGCTGTACCATAGACTTGAACCATGGTAGGCTAAGAAGAGTTGGAAGATTAATTTTAAAAGTTTAACATTGGCTTATATCACCAATTGTTCCACCTCTCCCAGGTACCAAATTTGTCCTGTTTCACATGTCCCTAATACTATTTAAAAAGATGACATATTTGAAAAAACTATACATTGAGAGTCTAACCTGGTAATTTTATATTTACCAGTAATTTAAAACTAACCAATTAAGATGAAAAAGTCATGCATATCTTGATTATGAAAAGAAATGTAAGGGTGAAATTTAAAAAAAAAAGCTACTCTTATTCATCCCAATATCACTTTGGTATTGAAGTCTAATTTATAGTAAATATGTGGTTACAGTTTACTGTTGTCTCACGTGGTTGTTTGCAGAATTCAAAATTCAACAAACTAATTTACATAAATACTGGAGGATGAGAGTACTGTAAATTCAAGAAATTATTGCGTGCATTTATTATTGCGAATTTTGAAGAATGGACTCAAATGCGAGATTAATTATTGCGAATTTTGATTTGATTTGATTTTTTGGTGTTTTAATGCCACTTTTAAGCACCGCTTTTGGGCTATTTCGTGGCGGCAAGTTTTTATTGGTGGAGGAAGCCGGAGTACCCAAAGAGAAAACCACCACCCTTCGATTGGAAAACTGACAATCCTAGTCAATTAAGATTGGAGTCGAGTGCACCCACACAAGCGGGGTTCGAACTCACAACCTCAGTGTTGACTGGCTAGTGATTACAGTAGTAACTACTTAGACCACTCGGCCACCGAGGCCCCTGCGAATTTTGAAGAATGAACTCAAATGCGAGATTAATTATTGCAAATTTTGAAGAATGGACTCAAATGCAAGATTAGTTATTGCGAATTTTGAAGAATGGACTCAAATGCGAGATTAATTATTGTGATTTCAGGAAAATATGCATACAGTTATATGTAAACAGATATCAGAATGCGAGTTTTTATTATTGCAATACTGTCAGTCGCATTTTTCGCTTTAATAAAAACCTCACAATAATTTCTGAATTAACAGTATATAAGAATAAATTTTAATGTCAGTCCATAGTTGTTAATGAATATCAAAGACTTCTTGGATCTCACATCTCACATGCATTGATCTCACATACATTAATCTCACATGCCTGATCACTTTTGTTCATGTTGACTGCTTGAGAATATATCAATAAAACACAGATGAGAAGAGGATAAAGCAGATTGTTATCTAAAATAACACATTGTCAATCTAAGCAAAGCCAAGATTAACAATGCATTCTTTAGGAGAAACAATCTGCTTTTTTACCCTCTAGGGCTATCTTATTTATTATGTTGAATGTTCTGGTATAATTGTGTTTTAAATGTTATGTTTTGCCAGTTTTTAGTGGTTTATAATAGAGGGTTATATTGGACACAGATGATGCCCCCGCTTGCATACAACATTATAAAGGGACATAACTCAAAAACGATAAAAGTGACACTACCCAAATTTGTACTTGATCTGAGTTTTAAGGTAATAAGTATTGTGTATAGGTTTCATAGTGTTTGGTTAGGGCAAACTTAAGTTACAGAACGGAAACTAAAAATTTTGCAATTTTTCGATTTATAAAGGGACATAACTCGATAAAGATTAAAGTGATGCTACCAAAATCAACTTGATCTGTGTTTTGTGGTAAAAAGCATTGTGTATAAGTTTCATAATATTTGGTTGAGGCAAACTTAAGTTAGAGAACGGAAACTAAAAATTTTGTAATTTTTCCATTAATAAAGGGGCATAACTCTAGAACGGTTAAAGTGACGCCACCAAAATTCAAACTTGATCTGTGTTTTGTGGTAATTAGCATTGTGTATAACTTTCATAACATTTGGTTGAGGCAAAGTCAAGTTAGAGAAAGGAAACTAATTTTGGGACGTACGGACGTACGTACGTACAGACGGACAAGGGTAAAACTTAATGCCCCCTCCGCTACGGCAGGGGCATAAAAATTTGTTACCTACTGAGCTGTTGTTTAGAGTGGAATGCTACCCTCATTAGAATCAATCAAAACTGTCATTCTAACGTATAGTATAATAATACATTTTTGTTCGTGGATGAAAGACAGTTAAAGTGTGAAATGTAAAGTTATTACATATAGTATAATAATACACTTTTGTTCGTGGATGAAAGACAGTTAAAGTGTGAAATGTAAAGTTATTACAATCAAACTGTTAAATGTCTAAATGTTTCTATGGAAATGACCTTTGTTCTGTGTGTCATCTGTGTAAATTTGAACCTTCTGTGACCTTGACACCAAGATGGCAGTTCGTCAGAAAGTCTGTTTGTGACATATTTCTCAAGGCTTGGAACACATCAGTCATACCTAAACTGTCAGGATATCTGAAATCAAATAAAGTTCTAATTGAAGTCTATATTGAAGATAAAAAAATATCAAAAGGAGGAGCAAAATAAGAGCTATAATTGGACCTCCCTCTGCCTGTATTACTCTGATCAGCTCTTCATAAACTTGCACAGCTTTGTGATGTCAAATACAAGGACTTACCCCCATCATAATGTTTGAACAGACTAAAACTTATCGAGTCCTCCTCCAGTTAGTTAGTGTCTCATGAACTTAAACAATGTGACAACATAGGCGTGACAACATAGGTGTGCCAAACATATACACATGGAGTTGTTAGACTATGTACGATTCAGAATGAAATAAATTTTGACAAAAAATGTGAATGTTTTGTTTTTGTATGAAATAAAAAAATTGCAGTTTGCATTAGTAACAGACCAGTAGACTATGGAATCAACCCCTCAAAATATGTGTTGATGTCAAATAAAAATCATTGTTACAAATGAATTGCATTAGAATCTCTTTATTGTGATGGCTTTAATGGGTAGAATAACACAGACATACAGTCAAACAACATACAATCATGTTTTTATATAAATAAGAAGATGTGGTATTAGTGCCAATGAGACAACTCTTCATCCAAGTCACAATGTATAAAAAGTTAACAATTATAGGTCAAAGTACGGCCTTCAACACAGAGCCTTAGCTCACACCGAACAGTAAGCTATAAAGGGCCCCAAAATGACTAATGTAAAACAATTCAAACAGGAAAACCAACGGTTTAATCTATATAAAAAACAAGAAACACCAATGAACCACACCAACAAACAACAACCACTGAACAACAGGCTCCGGACTTAGGACAGGTGCATAAAAATGCAGCGTTTTAAAAGTTTTAACAGGCGCCCACCTTCACCCTAACTTGAGACAGTAGTGTAACATTACAACATAAAAAGACAAACTATAAAATATCAATTGAAATGGTTTAACTCGATCAAAAAGACATTTAAACAAAAACAATTAAACATACACTGAATGAATGTTTGATCTATGACACAATATAAATACAATATTAAAATGTGGGTGCCTATATGATTTTATGTTATCTTACCTGCCATTGGTTACTTTACCAGCAAATGTTTCTGTAATTATATCACCTAAGAATGACTTCATGACCTGTTAAATGAAAGTAAATTGTCTCATTAACAGTCATGGGCATTACTGAAACAAGCTTTTAATTCAAATATTTTTATATCCGTAGAAAATTTTATAAGAAAATTTTTAAAGACAGATTATTCAGAAGGGTTATTTTGAACTGCAATAAAAGAATGGGCTACATGCAGTTTTTATGAATTTTAGCTTGTTTTGGGTTACACATTTTTAATAAGTTTAAGTCTCAATAAAATCAAATGTATCCATTCATTTATATTTGTCTACCTTCAAGATTTTGAATGATTTTGAATGAAAGCTACATTTTAATTGTCCCAAGGACCAGTGTTTGACCCAAAAGTGTCGATATTTACTGTAGGTGCATGATGATGGTAAATTTCTTGTTTAAGTAATGCCCTTGACTGATTTAGGATACAGCAAGGAAATGTAAATGTAAGTGTCCATGCCGTTCAATTTGTTGACTAGAATGTGTTTCTTCTACAGCAGTTGACTGAAATTTCTGACCACGTGAATAGTTTCATTCATTGAAACAAAATGCATTATGGTCAGAATTTTAAATGAACTGCAATAGTTGGAGAGCAACACTTGCATTCAAGTCAAAGTAAGATAATTCTAATTTAGAGTATGATTAAAATAATAAAGAGCTGTGCCATGAGCACATGATACGCCCGTCGCTTTTTCAAAGAATAAAGTTCCATAACTCCTCCATGTCATATCAGAAATTTATAAAAAAAAAACTAAAGGGAGGTTATTTTAATAGATATAAACTAGTCACCAAAGTTTGAAGAAAACTGCTCAAAGCACTTTTGAGTTATTGTCCAAAAACATGAAAATTCCCCTATTTTAATGAATAAAACCCCATAACTCGCAAACGTAAAATCAAAAATTTATAAAAATCAAAAGGGAGCTCACGTCAATAGATATAAATAATTCACCAAAGTTTCATGAAGACTGCTCAAAGCATTTTTGAGTTATTGCCCGAAAACTGGAAATCCCCCTTTTTTAATGAATAAAACCCCATAACTCAGAAACATAAAATCTAAAATTTATAAAAATTGAAAGGGAGCTCACTTCAAATAAATATAAACAATTCACCAAAGTTTCATGAAAACTGCTGAAAGCATTTTTGAGTTATTGCCCAAAAACTTGAAAATCCCCCTCTTTTAATATATATGAATAAAGCCCCATAACTCAGAAAAGTAAAATCTAAAATTTATAAAAATCGAAAGGGAGCTCACGTCAATAGATATTAACAATTCACCAAAAGTTTCATGCAAATTTGTAAAAGTGTTTTTGAGTTATTGCTCGGCATGTTGACGATGGACGGACATACGGACAACGGTATATCATAATACGTCCCGTAAACGGGCGTTTAAAAATGAATGTTTTTTCCAAAAATATTCTTTCATCAGTGTCTTATGAACATGAACATACTTCCTGAAAACAGAGGAGTTTCTTCATGGATAATAATAACAGAAATGGCTGTAATGGAAGCAAGTTACTATATGGTACATGTCAAGAATAATAAGAGCGAAAATCAGCTTCAAAACAGAACCCCAGGGAAATACTTACAGCAAAAACCATATCTTCTGAAGCATTACCACAAACACCAGGCTCAAGTTCTGTTGGCTCAAACTTTACTCCAATCTGAAATGCAGAAGGCAACTATAAAATAGAAGCTCCAAAGAGTATGAATCATTTATTTAGCAACAAACCAGTAAATATTTCAAAAGAGGTCAAGTTAAGTTTGACCTGATAAATGGTGTTGACAACGAAGCCTATTACATAGTTTTTTTACAAGGTTTTGAAAGAAAATATTTATTAGTTATATTTAAGAGGGTCTACGATATTCAGATGAAGTTGGATTTTGATTTTCCCCATGCTTTCAACATAATCATCAAATAGACAGATGGTAAAGCTTTTTAAGGCTATCAGGTGACCTTGACCTTTGCTCTCTGAGCTTAATATCAAATGGTATTCAGCTAGCTTCTCATGACTGAGAACCAGTGCATCAGGTTTTGTTAAAAAAGTTATAAGCCTTTATCTCATCTTTTAAATACTTATCTATTAAATGTCCATAATCTCTGACCTTTAATCTAGTTAAAAATATATCTTCTCCAAAATGAACCATATTTGGTGGAATTTTAAAATATGTGCTCACTTTTTCAGTGCACAAGTTGTTACAAAAACAGGCAAAGGTAAAATTTAATAAATCTTGCTATATTTGTTCTGCAATTTTGATTAAAATACACTATAATTTTTTACATAGGAAATAGTTCTAAAGTGAACATATTCGCTTTTTAATATAGTATCTTAAATTATTGATGTCCAGGTTAGGTAATTTCTAAAACAAAACACTTCATAATCTTAAAAATTAACTGAACATTACAGATCAACAACTCAGTCAATAATCTTACCCTTTGACAAGTGTCCTGAATGTATAATGCAGAGTCTGATGGAGGTATAACTATATCATTTTTACTCAAGTCTCTTGTTTCTTCTTCAACCACTTTCTTCTTTGGAATAAATTGTTCTGAAAAATGAATATATTTAGATGAATAAATTGGGATATGAATTAAATACCAATCAGAAAGCAACCAACCAACACAAAAAACAACCAGATTGCTATGCCATAAAGAAATATCTCCTGAAAGTTTGGAAAACAGCTGTCTGAACAGGAGACTGCTATACAGAGCGAGACTGATAACATTATCATAGTGGTCACAAAATGTGAGTATGATGCAGTAGGTTGAGCATAGTTAAAGTCCAATAACTCCAGCAGAAATTGTAAAATCATAAACTGTTGACACAGAGATATGTCTCGCTTGTCTGCATGAAATTCAGAATAAGACAATGTGATGAACAGCAACATTGCTAATTAATTCAAAGTCGCTGGACCATGAACTAGTGGCCAGAGTCTTGAAACGGTCAACAAACTGCCATATACAGACAGTAATGTAGCTTTATAGAAAATATTGTTGTCTATTGTAAGCAGTTCCTATCAAACAAAACCAGTGGCCAGAGCCTTGAAATGGTCAAGAAACTGCGATATACAGACAGTAATGTAACTTTATAGAAAATATTGTTGTCTATTTTAAGTAGTTCCTATCAAACTAACTTAAGCAGAAAACTTAACTTTAAAAATTGGTAATTAATTGAAAGTCACTGGACTATGATCTACAGGGGCAGCGAGTCGAAATAGTTGTCAAACTGATATGAACTGATAGTAATGCAACTTTATAGAAAATATCATTGATCTATCACAAGTAGTTCTTATCAATCTAAATTAAGCAGAAAATTTAACAATTGTTGACCCTGTTGCCAGAAAAGCAATACCAATGTTTTTGATATTGATAATCTGTATCTGTATCGTTATGTTATAGGTACCAATTCTGGCTTTAACTCGACGGGAGAGAGAGCACCTAGTGACGGTGTTGGAGAGCTGTTTTGAAGCTCTCAACTGACTTGGCGCACACTATATCTTCTTCCAGCTGGTTCCAATGGATCACAGTCTTAAAGAAGAATGAGTTCTTGAATTGTTCGGTTTTGCAATTTGTTGTATCAATTGCCTTTGAGTTGCTCTTGACCGATTTATTTACTATGTTATTGCTTTCAAAGTCTACAAAGCGTTTCGGTTTGATAATCCTTTTGGTCCTGCATTTTACCAAAAATTCTTCGGGTTTGATAGCTGTGACCACATTATTATTAAGAATCCTTCCAAGTACCAATGGTTTTTGGGTAAAGGGGAATCCCAGGATTTGTGTTCACAAGATGTCATTGTGTTGTGTTAAAACACAGGGGGTCTCAACATAGATTTTGGGTAAAGACATGTAGCTGCAATTTCACAAAACTCTCCTCATTCATATTTTGAAGTCTTGTGTAAATCAAAATCCACATATATATGTTTCATGGCAAAATCATAACTAATATGTTTTTCAGTTATCAATTATACAATCTGTGACGTCTTTATTTTACTGAAAAAAATTGATTATCTTGCATCAACCAAAGTACAATATACAATATATGTACATTGTCTGGAAAATTTACTTGTAAGAGCTTTAGAAACCGGACAAAAAGTGAGGCTCTCCTGTTTCGTAGCGAGTATAAATTATTTTTTTATTTCTGCCAATGTATATATATTGTTTTTATCCTGTAATTTCACTTGACATTGCAAGGTTGAGTTATTCAAATCCAAATAGTTGTCTCTAATTTTTCAAAGAAATCCACACAGTTAATAGCGGACCGCAAACAGGACCCAAAATTAGACTGTGACACAAAAAGAAATTCACATTAGCCTTTGCTCAATATGTAGTGACAGGAGGCTTTATTTGTACAAGTACAAACAATGCAAAAATTTATTTGTGTACCATTTATTTGTACAATAGTTTGCTGATTGACTTGCTTTGCTCTAAATGACCCCAGGTTAACCGGGGAAATTCATTCATAAAATTCAAATTGTGTAGTGACATTTTACCTTTGTGAAATTGCAACCCATTGATATACATGACATATAAAAGTTACCCATTCCAGCAACACATCTGTTCATACCTTCATATAAAAATTTGTAATGGGTTCCAGAACCCTGTACCTTGCCTGAAATTGCCACTGTCAGTGTTAAAATGTAACGTTGACTGTAAAAATCATACCACATCTTCTTGTTTTTATGCCAAACATATTTTCCAAAGATTAACAATCAGTGTTACAATACTGATAAGAATTAATGAAGTTAGTGATCATACCCATGTTACAATACTGATAAGAATTAATGAAGTTAGTGATCATACCCATGTTACAATACTGATAAGAATTAATGAAGTTAGTGATCATACCCATGTTACAATACCGATAAGAATTAATGAAGTTAGTGATCATACCCATGTTAATAATGTCCACATCTTCTTCCTCATTTATTTCTATTGTAGAGCCGTCTTTTAGATCACTAGAAACTATTTCCACTGGACATGTGACCGATGAGAATTTTTTGCCGATTCTGTCTGCTGTGAGTTCAACACCAAATGGATGTAATGTTGATTCTACAACAAAATAAACAATTTATAACAAAACCATTCCCCTTCTGGCATACATATTGGTTATCCTTTAAACATCCCAATAATACCAATACAAAACTATAGACAGAACATTCAGTTCATATTTGTCTTCAATTTGTTGAGCAGGTATAACGACGAAGAGTTTTCCTTATCTTAGTACAAAAAAAATGTATGTATATATTCCAAATGCTTGAATGTACAAGTAAGTCTACTGGGGTATTTGAACTCATCTTTTTTAATTTCAAGTTATGTCAAATATGTAGCTGCAATAATTCTAGGAGAAACCATTCATTCACTAGCAATGGTAGACCATCATGAAATTCATGCAAAGTTTTTATAAATCTATACAAAATCAACATTCAATTGAAATTTACTGCGAATTAGTGGGAAATAAAAAGTTATTTCAGTTCTCCAATAAAATAAAAGGCCTAATTACTGAACTGCTTGTAATTAAAGATCTGAAGAAGAGTTAATGATGGGTGATCTTTATTTATTAGAGCATCACTGTTGAATCTTTTGTAGACAAAAACGTGAGTCTGGCGTACAAAATTTAAATCCTGGTATCTATAATGTGTTTATACACATAAGTTTTGTTCATAGATAATTTACTTTATTTTAGTAATTAAACCATTTTTTAAGATGTTTCCAAATAACTATAATTTACTGTTGTTTTTTCAATTAAAAATTTTCACTTCCAGAAAACATGGTGACATTGTCTATAGTAATTATAAAGCAGTGGTTAATCTTATGCAAATATTTTCAGTTTTCCAAAAATTTCACTGTAGAAAATTTTTCCAATTATTTACAGAATTTTACAATCTCCAAGTATTATTACTTAGGATCATTGTCTTTGATCAAACTATCTGATCTATATTGCCTGAATACTAGTCTGCATTAAGGGATGAATTTTTCCAGTTTGCTGGTGTGAAATCCGATAATTTTCATAGTGTAGGGAAATCCATTTCTTTGACCTGTACTGTATTTATTTTAATCATATTTCATTCCAATTTCCTATATCTGCTTCGTAGTCAAAGAGTTTTGTCCCTTTGTAAGTAACCCTGTAAATAATTACCTTGATAGGGTGGATAAATGCATGTAATCTGCACCACAACATAATCTGCTTGGTAGTCCAGAGGTTTTGTCCCTTCGTAAGTATCCCCATAAATAATTACCTTGATAGTGTGGACTAAATGCATGTAATCTGCACCACAACATAATCTGCTTGGTAGTCCAGAGTTTTGTCCCTTTGTAGGTTTCTCCTTTAATGTGGTTTAAGATAAATTTTCTACAGAATGCAGCCCTTTGCCACTGTAATATAAAATTAAAAGAGGCATTTGTACATATTTACCATTCAAATATCTAAATTACTTTTAAGTTTATCTTATGAAGTTAATTAAATTTCAACCAAAAACCTTTTACAGTTCTTCTTCAAATCATCACTTTCAAGGTCATTGATTAACCAATTACTATTTTCAGATTAAAGCTATGCACATTATGTCATGCTCTCTGCATGAAAAAGAACCCCCTGCAATTATAAGGATAAATCTGATGGAACTGTAGGCGACATATTTCTGGTAAAATTTCTGTCCCTACCAAACCAGCCCTCTTTCTTAATTTCCATTGGTAGTTTGAATCCCAGTTCATTATCTGGATAAGAATAGAAAATAAAACAAAAATGCATACAGAATGAGATTTGATCCTAGTATTCTTGACAGACCTGTAATGAAATACAACATCAATTCATTAATCAAAATCCATTCATGCACTTGACAGAACTCTTAGAAAAGGAACAGTGCTTTTGTTGCTGTTCTTTATTACATATTTACAGTGAGACATTTAACACAGAGGTCATTCTTCACTGCAAGGTCAAGTAGGGCCCTAGTAGCAGTTTGAGAAGACTCAGGGGTTCAAATTTACTTTAGGCAATGGAAGGTCCAGGACCTTTGACAAAAAATACTTAAAGGTCCTCCATTATTCTTTGAAGGTCTAATTTTTAATTTATAAAAAATCGAAAATGCTCGCCCTTCCAAAGCACTCATCATATCTTACTACATTAACCTCATTTTTTTCTGAATTTCTTGTATAATTTCATTCAGAGGTTGCCCCTTTTCCCCAACACTATACACTGTGTTAAATAACACTTTGTACCTTTTAAGTTTGTTTTGGTTTCAATTGCTTCTTTAAAAAGTAAAATCACAAAAATATTGAACTTCCGAGGAAAATTCAAAAAGGAAATTCCCTAATCAAATGGCAAAATCAAAAGCTCAAACACATCAAACAAATGGATAACAACTGTCATATTCCTGACTTGTTACAGGCATTTTCTTAAAACACACTGGCCTAACTTTGTGTCAGATAACAGTTTCGTTTCAAACTTGGGGTCAGTTTCTTTTAACCACATATTTTGACAAGATATATAGATTCTTTGAGGAAATTTTTCATCATGATTTTTTATGGGGTAAAGTTTTAAAATTTTGTCCAACGAACCAGGGCAATATCCTTTTCACTGTGTGTGGCAAAAATCTACGTTCTGGTTTTTCCCTGTCAAATATTTTGTCTTTAGTCAGATCCTGTCTTTGGGCTGAATTAAGCCGATTCATCAATCACACCCGCTGTATCACTCGTTTCATCAAGGTTTCTTTTAGAAGAGGTCACCCCAAAACCAAACAGACTCATACTGTTTATTAGGTATGTTATAATATTATATTCTCCAGTTTCCGGGTATCATGTAGGACTACACATCAAATAAATTGTGAAGAATTTAAGCAATCACATAAGTTTCCTTTTAGTATAGTTGCATATTTTAAGATTATTTTTATATTTTTGTTCAAAATGCTTTTGTAACATATGTAATTTTTTTAACCTGCAAAAATACAAAGTCCGTCAGGTGTAACTAACTACCGGTGGGAAGGTCCAAACCTGTAAATGGAAGGTCACAGACCTCGGACCACCGCTAATTTGAACCCCTGACTTAGACTTCTTTGTTAGAAGTCAATAATGTTTTACTTGTACATTAATGCAGTTTGGCGTATTAATACCAAATTACATATATAACCTTCAAAGAAATACAATACTGTTGTAAAATGCACAACAAGCTTGAGTATTAAATACAGAAACAATACAAACATTTAGATGACATGGAGCACATAAATATAATCTATTAACATTTTAAAATGACAAATGCATTCCTTCTTTTCATTGTTTGAAGTTAACAATTTGATATTAATTATACCTGATTGAGGTAATGTAGAGAAGGTAAAAAGGTCTCTCTTTGTGGCAGACTAGTTCAAGTTATCCCCCTTTTGTTCTGAATTAGTGCGAGACTTGTATAGTTAGTTAAATACCTAATTATATCAATTGAATATAAATTACATTGTTGTTTTATCATCATAATACCAGATTTTTACAGAAGCAAGGTACAGCACATATTATACTTACTTCAGAAGCTCGTCTTTTGCCAACTTTCCATGACAACCATTCTGCAGAAGTTGAGGCACAGTAAGGGTGTTGATATTTATCTTTAAATAAAGGTATGAAGACTTAAAAACATATTTTGCTGCTGAAAATGTTTTTAAATATGATCTCTCCACTATTTTCAAAACACAAATTAGACACAAACCCAAAAACAAACAGTATGGTCATCAAACAATGACTAACTTCTCAACACTATTTTCTGTTTTAAATACGGACGGACCTCGATAAGTCAAAGGGACCTGACAAAATCTATTCCAATCATCGGAGGTTCAAGTCATCTAAGGTTGTAAGCTACGTCATATGTTTACCCTATTTCAATGTTGTACCACGTATTGTCAACCTGGTACTTTAAGATGGAATATGTTTATTATATTCCAAACCATCGATATAGCATCTAGTATTAAAATAAATGTGGATTGTGTCCACATGTGGACACAGATGATGCCCCCGCTTGCATATCATGTAGTTATAAAGGGACATAACTGAAGAACGGTAAAAGTGACACTACCCAAATTTGAACTTGATCCGAGTTTTGTGGTAATAAGCATTGTGTGTAAGTCTCATAACATAAGGTTGAGGCTAACTTAAGTACAGAGCAGAAACTAAAAATTCAGCAATTTTTCTATTTGTTAACACGCATAACTCTAGAACGGTTGTGTTTAAAGTTTTATAACATTTGGTTGAGACAAACTAAAGTTAGAGAAGGGAAACAAAAACTTCAGCAATTTTTATGTTTATAAATGAACATAACTCAAGAATGGTAAAAGTGTCGCCACCAAATTTCATACTTAATCTGTATTATGTAGTAATAAGAATTGTGTATAAGTTTCATAACATTTGGTTGAGGCAAACTAAAGTTAGAAAAACGGAAACAAATAATTTGTTCTTGATCTTAGTTTTGTGTTAATGAATATTGTGTATAGGTTCCATAATGTTTGGTTGGGGCAAACTTAAGTTACAGAATGGAAACTAAAAATTTTGCAATCTTTCGATTTATAAAGGAGCATAACTCAATAATGGTTAAAGTGACACTACCCAAATTCAACTTGATCTGTGTTTTATCAGTGAAAGCCAAAATTAATCATTGCATTGTATAAAGCATTGATTGCAGTTGATTTAACTATAATCATGGACAAAAGGAAGATAACTCCGATTTTAAAAAATACTTGATATTTAAAAGAAAATAAAAATTTTGCAATTTTTCAATTTATAAAGGGGCATAACTCAAGAAAGATTAAAGTGACGCCACCGAAATTCAAACTTGATCTGTGTTTTGTGGTAATAAGCATTGTGTATAAGTTTCATAACATTTGGTTGAGGCAAATTTAAGTTAGAGAACGGAAACTAAAAATTTTGCAATTTTTTCATTTATAAAGGGGCATAACTCTAGAACGGTTAAAGTGACACCACCAAAATTCAAACTTGATCTGTGTTTTGTGGTAATGAACATTGTGTATAAGTTTCATATCATTTAGTTGAGGCAAACTTAAGTTAGAGAACGGAAACTAAATATTTTGCAATTTTTCCATTTATAAAGGGGCATTACTCTAGAACGGTTAAAGTGACGCCACCAAAATTCAAACTTGATCTGTGTTTTGTGGTAATAAGCATTGTGTATAAGTTTCATAACATTTGGTTGAGGCAAACTCAAGTTAGAGAACGGAAACCAATTTTGGGACGTACGTTCAGACAGACAAGGGTAAAACTTAATGCCCCCACCGCTACGGCAGGGGCATAATAAAAAAACAGAGTTCCAATGTCCACCACGTTGCACATGTTTTATCTGTCCAAAATCAATAACTATAAAAAAAATGTGTTTTTGTTTTTTAAAACTTTTTAAAATCATCTTAGAGATTGAAGATTTAAGAGCAATTTCTGATAAATTCAATATTTCCAAGAGACATAACTCATTAAAAATATTTGATCGGCAATTATTTTCGAAATTGTCAGTGACATTGTTGATAATAACCTTTGATATGAATTTGATAAAAATCTAGCACATGAGAGCACTTACATTGCAATTTTCCAAAAAAATTATATTTTTCTAAGGGGCAGAACTCTTTTAAAAATATTATATTTTCGAATTAGTCGATGACATTGCTAATATAAACCTACAATATAAATTTCATAAAAATCTGGCAAGAATTGTACACGAGAGTGCTAACAATGCAGTTTTCCATAAAATTAATGTTTCCAAGGGGCATAACTCTTAAAAATAGTTGATCTGCACTAATTTTCGAACTTGTCTGATGAGACATTGCTGATATAAACCTGTGATATAAGTTTTATATAAATCTGGCAAGACTTGTACATGTGAATGCACTAACAAGACCGGACGGACAGACTGACGGACACCCGTTATTTCTATGTCCACCCCCCCTAACGTGTTGCGCGGGGGACAATAACTGAAAATACATGTGTTGTAACTGGGACACATTATAAAGAATCTTACTTCCAAAGCATTGGACAATGAAAACTACAAGAAAAGTACCTGCTGTGAGAGAAACAATAGGGTGCCTTCTGACTGCTGCCCTGATGAGTGACAATACATCAGGAAAATCTTCTGTTCTGTAATAATGATAAATAATATTATATAAAGAATGTTAAACCATACTTATAAAATTGGCATCTCTTTAGTGGTTCATCAATTTATGATTTGTATTCACTGCCTGAGCATAATAAAATATTCATTACAATTCCTAAATCTGGAAGAAGTTAATTTATATTTCTTTCTTTGCAGTTTCCTTTACTTTAAATTCTGTTCAAGTTAACCAAACTTCTATAGGTGTAAAACCATAATATGTCACATCAGGTTTCATGTTAAAATACCAAGTATTTATTTATTTGAAACAAAGGTAAATCTGTACAATCTTTTGAAATATGCCTATTTCACAAAGACTACTAGGGGGAAACAATGGTGGTATTACCCTACAAAATTAAAAAGGAAATCATCAACTTGCTTTCTTAAGTTACACATAGGCAACCTCCAATAATCAGAAATAGGAAAAAAATTTTGCTATTTAAAGGCTAAAAAATATGACAATACCTGATAGGTTTGATCTCCTCAACTATGAGTGGGGGTGTTGATGGTCTTCTTTGATCTGATTTTTTACGTAAACAAATAATTCTTTTTTCAGGTCGACAAGCTTCAAGTCTGCGCTCAGTTTCAGATAAAAGATCCACAACTATTTTCTTATCTCCAACTGTTCCTGTTATTGAGTTTTTTTTACCAGACAGTAAAGATGGACTCTCACCTTTTACTGAAGATGTCATTAAGGTCAAGGATGGAGCAGAAGTTGACAAATAATCAGCCACTGTTTTCTTAACAACGTTTGTTGAAGTCAATAGCGAAGACGGATGAGAACTTGAAATCACTGGTATCTGAAATTCCTTAGGTAAAATGCTAACACTGTTTCTTTTCGTGTTAAAATTTTCTACTGTGTTCATATTTATTTTGGATTCACTTGTACTTGACGATAAGTTTTTGTTTGCAAGCACTGTTTCTTGATTTATAGTAAACATTTCTGGTTTTGGATTAGTTATTCCTACACCATTTGCCTTCTGAGATGGATTAACAATAATTTTTAGTCCTTGAGATGTCACCTGAAGGTGATTTTGACTAGATATCTGACCTTGACACTGGTTTTCTGACATTGAACTAGAAACATTCATAACTGCTTTTGAACAGGCTGATGTTGTGATTGTAACAGACGATGGTTTTGAATTAGAAGATTTAATGGTTGGTTCCAGTATGTTAACTTTTCCTACAGAGCCAACATTCAAGTTGCCTTTATTTCCAAGTGAATTAGAATTTGTATTTTGTGTATTACTTTGACAGATCTTGCTTAATCCAATTTGTTTTTGACTTCCTGGAAACAGTAGTGAAGTTCCTACTTTTGTCCCTGAGGTATTTGAATTCAAACTCTGTGTTGGCATGACAACAGTCTTTCCATTAGCGGAACTCATTGTCAGTAACAGACTATTTCCAGACTTCATACTAGTGACTGAAGCCTGCGGTAAAGTTAATATTGTAGATACTGAGGTAATATTTGCCTTTATATTGCCGACATTTTTCAATTTGCTTGGTGATGGGTTAGAAATAATGGTAGTAACTAATGATGTAGAAGTCAGTTGCTGTTGACCTACATTTGCACTTACCACTGAATTAATCGAAACTGATGTAGTTTTCACATTTTTCTCACTTATCACAGATGCTGGTTTCAATAAGGAATTAGCATCTTGACCCAATGGCACTGTACTTTTCAAAATTGATTTAGTTTGATTGGCTGATGTTGATTGTGAACTGACAACTTGACCAGTCTGGTTCAAACTCAAAATGATAGGAGACTTCTTATTGGCTGAACCCAAGATGACAGGCAAGTTCTGATTGACTAATCCTTTATCAGCTGGAGTCTGCTGTTTTGAACCTGCTGTAGAGTTAGTACTGAATATAACAGCAGAACTTACTGATCCTTTTACACTTGACACTGTAGAAGTTGTACTTCCAGAAGACAACAGTGGTCCTGATTGAGTATTTGATTTGGCCGGAGATTGAATAACCTGTTTCAGCAACTGCTGTGGAACTAAAAAAATGTTGCCTTGAGCATCTTTACATCTGTAATATAATGTCTGAGAAGTGGCTGGTGATGTTGGGGAAGCTGAAGAGACATTTGGAGGTTTAGCTGTTTGTTGTGCAGACTGCACTAAACTAGCAGATGAGGGTTTTAAAATGTTCATAAGCTGTGATTGTTGACTAGCTCCTACACATTTAGAAGCTTGCGTTGCAGGCTGTACAATACTTGACACTTGTAAAGTAACAGCACCAGATTTAACTGAAGGTTGTACAATGGATGTTTTAGCCTGAGATACCAACAATGTCGGATTTACAAACAAAGTATTAGGTTTTGTAGCTTGTAAAGGTTGCTGTACCACCACAGCATTAGATTTTGTTGCTGAAGGAACAGTAAGTGGTCTGGTTGCCTGTGGAACAGTCTGAATCAGTAACATGTTTGACTGAGTTTTCTGTACAGTTGGCTTGACAATCATTGTATTGAGTTTGTTTGCCTGTATACTAGGTTGAACAATGAGGGTATTATTGCCAATTATTTGTTGCCCGAGGATCAAATTACCTTTAGATGTTTTTACAAGAGATTCTGATTGTTGTCCACTTCTATTTACAGCATTAAGTATTGGCTGGACGATAGCAGTTTTAGATGTGAGTGATGCATTCACTATGCCAGTTTTTGACAAACAAGTCTGTGCAATTAAATGACTATGTGGTAAGTTTCCACTAATAATTCTCATCTGATTCTGACTTGGTGCTAGTTTTGTACTTAGTGAACCAATGCCTTGTAAAATCACAGCTGAATTTGATTCCTTCTTATTCACAGAGGAGGGAGATTTGTCTCCCTTTTCACTGCAAAGGATAACTCCTTTTGCTGGTGTTTTATTTTTATTATCTCCCCTTGCATCTGGAAAATTTGGATTTGTCACAGACCCAACACCTCCTAACACAAGTTGCACTGGAGAGCCATTTTTAGTATTGCTAACTGAATTTGTCAAAGAATTACCAGAATTCTTTATCTTATCTGACACAGTACTGCATGTTGGATTTGTGATCAAAGTTTGCACAACACCAATGCCATTTGTATCCCCTGAAATATGTATTCCATTTACAGAAGGTGTCACTGTCACCTTCTTTTTAGGTGACTGCTTTTCTGGAATTGTTACATTATTTTCATGCACTAGTTGTTTGTCAGATTTTAACTGGTTCTTCAGATCAAAGGTCACTGGCAAAGAAACTGTAGTCAATTTTTCATCATTTTTCTCTTTTTCCAGTTCAATATCAACAAGCTGAAAATAATAAAAGTAGACAATATATCTTTAATTCTATATGTCATAATGAGTCAAACCTCAGTAAAATCAACTTCTTTAATCTTAATGAAATTAAATTCTAACTCAAAACTTTATAGGATTGTTTTCTCCATTTAATACAGAAATGTTTGCATTTCCTTGCAATAATTCAGGGGTTTCATTATTTTTTTATACTGGAGGTACTTTATTAGATTATGGGGGCTACCAAACCCAATTGGCGAGGGGTCCTTGATTTTAGGAGTTTTGAGACATAATTTTTTACTAAACAATATAGGAGTAAGTCTGTAATATTTGCTTCAATTTTGGGTATATTTATCATTGAATTGGTTTTTTTTCTAAAGTTATTATCTGATAATAAAACATTGCTTATTGTCTAATCAGTTATAACATATGTATGACCTATAATGCTATATGCAGGGGTTTCATGTGGAATGTTGTTAAAATGTTTTGTTTGTTTTTATACTTTTATTAATTGTTTTGCATTTGTTCAATTTTGTGAATATAAAATGAAATTCCATAACATGGTTTATATGTTGATTAAAAAAAATTGATAATAAAACTTTTGGAAGTCTTAAATCTCATCATTTTAATATAATCATAAATTTTTTTTCTAATGGGACCAAACTCCAGAAATGCTATTTTTCAATTTATTTATTTAAAAAAACTGTCACCCCTCCGCACCCTCTGGAATTAAATGGCCGCCCTGTAATTACTTTGTAAACGTTTGATTGTTACATGTGTTAACTAAAACTAAAAATTTCCAGCAGTCATTCAAATCACAATATAGAACAAATATCGAGAAAACAGGTATAGGGCAATGAGAACGTCGAACGGGAAACGAACTGATTTGGTACGTTTAACAGTTTTCTGACAGGGGTTGAGAAATCCACTAGCCCGACGCCCGGGACTAGAGCATTTACACCTTGGGAAATCAAAACTTATACCAAATATGCCCGACAGACTAGTAACAAAAAATTCTTGGCGTTTCCAAAATACAAAGTGGAAAATCCCTTCATCTCTATTCTATCTTAGCCAATCAAATTCAATTACGTCATCTGAGATTCAAAGAATTTGAACTGATTTTGTATGTTTTAAAAATAGAACAAATGACTCTGAGTGGAGCGGTATCATGTATTGATTGCAATTCCTGTACTATCATTATCAATTTCTCCGTACTTAGGGTATTGTACATTGCTCAAGCCTAGACTTTCAATTAACGGTACTGGGGATAATACTGTATGATCAGTGTTCCAGCTAGGATTTCAAAAGGGCAGGGTGCCAATCCTGAAAAAGGGCATTTAACATGTGATATGATAATATGAAAAGGGCATGTTTTAATAAAGATTATAATCAAACATTGTTTGTTCATTGAATCACTGGTTATAAATATACAAGAACAACATCATTAGCCCAGAGAAAAACTATCTTTCTACTTTTTAGGCTGAAACTTATCAAGCAGCTTGTGACGCAAGTTTTAAATCATTGCTTGGCACAGTTAAGCTTTATATGCAGTATTTTTTGAAAAATGTCCTGCTTCATTCTGTTTCTATGGTCTGACACACTTTACAAGTTTCACCTTTCTACCTTTTTTGTGCTTAATGGCAATACAGCACAAAACAGCTGTAAATGCATAATGTTAGGATATAGTGAACAGTGAAAATTTTGATTGAAAATAAAAAATACAGAAAAAGATGACCAAGGCACCCTACCAACCCTGCTACTAAGACCCTCTTTAACTTTTCCCATAACTCAAAACACCTAAACATATAAATTCTAAAGCCAGAAGTATGAAGACATATTTTATAATATCTTAGTAGGTTACTCAATGCTAGGAAAAAATAAGATTGATTTATCTTTCTTTATTTGGGTGTGCTCCTTTTTTGGAGGATAATAAACAGTACGTAGAAGATGTAAATACGATCAACAATATGGCAGCCGATTTTGTTATTTTCGTATAAAAAATGAAGGCAGTCAATGAAAAATACGTCTTAATTTGCTATTTATTTCACGGAAAACAATAAGAGCAATGTTTTTAACGAGTTGATTATGGTTTTCGACTTTCTGTCAATTACGTTTTCTCCATGAAACTAAGGTAAACATTGCTAATTGTGCCCAAGTTGTATGAACATTTCTTCAAGTTCAAAGACAAATGCCCACTGACCGATTCTATTTGAATGAATTAATGTTGATGATCATTAAATGACCCATCTGATAAACGGATTACCTATAACAACAGATTATGACACCTGTTGTAACCGTTGATTAGCTTGGGGTCGTAAACAAAGTAATATACTTGTCGCCAGGTAAATTTTCGTAATTGGCTGATCATATTAATACGAACAAAATAATATACCAATCGATCTTCAAAAAAGGCAAGGCGCCCTGCAAACTGTAAAAAGGGCACAGGGCGGCACTCGGGAAAGGGCGGGCGGACTGCCCTGTGAAAACGACCTAGCTGGAACACTGATGATGCATTGATTGATGTGAATTGTTACTTGTAAGAATGATTTAGCCTTTCAGAAATACATATTAACATAAAATTCTAAATTAATGATCAATTAAAATTTTTTTTTTAAAAAGTGAAATATGAAAATTCGACAGAACCACATTGTTGAAACTGATATACGTGTTGGCATGTGCGCAGGTGCGAGATTTAATTTTGCATCCGAATTCTTCAAAAATGCGAACATTATCGTAGATACCTTTATCTAAAGGTTCATTACAAGTATTTTCAAGAAGAAATAATGTGGAAAGAACTACATAAACTGAATAGACAACTCTGACAGCGTACATTGAGTTTAGTATCCAACTTTGGTCCATGTTTTACCATTGACAAGTCAACATCCCATAATAGGAAAAGTGCTTTTTGAAAAAAGAAAGTACAGTTCTGACAGCATGATATTGCATTAATAAAGAGTTTAAGGCAGATCTTAGTTCATTAATTTTTAACATTACATATGTGGACTGTCAATTTAACAGTTTACGTCACAACATAAAAATTATATCAAAAGTCTTCTGAAGTTTAGTATCGTTTTAATGTCAATTATTCAGGCATTGTGATGATGCAAACATTTAATAATGATTGCCTTTGTGACTAAGTCTTACAGGATTGAAATTTGAATCAGAAAAAAATATCCAGCTGACTAAAACATTTGTTGGAAGTCCGGGCTATCAGGTTTGATTTGCTGGGCTAGCAGTTCTGTCAACAGGACTAGTAAATTCTGCTACCAATAAGTCCTGGGCTAGTGAGCTGTAACAAAATTTTTTAACCCCTGTCTGAATTTCATTGAATGTTCACCTTCATTTAACCTTTTGTTCATAAAATAATCTGTAATTGCTTTCAGTTTATTAGACATTGTTGTTTGTTGTTTAAATTCATCGATAAATTGCCGCTTGAAAATATTCTGCTAAATCTTTGTATTTTAAAGAGCTCTTACGATCATATTTAATTCCATGGTGTATAATTATCACTTCTCTGACTTTGGAGGTTTGCCTGAAATTGGCAGATCAATACTTTAGCGTGGACCTCAACAAAGACACCCATAAACATAAACTTAAAACGGCGTAGAACAGAGAGTATTAAAGAAAGTATAAAATTAGATTTGATCGATTTTCACAACAATTTTTGCACATGATTTTTTAGTATTTTTATTTTTTCCATAGGGGGGTAGAAGTACAGGGTACTGGATCTTAATGAAAGCACTGATAATTATGAAATATATTTATGATTTATACTTTTAGGGTAATCACTTTTTAAATTCAATTATATGAATTTCTGCACCAAAAAATGTATGGCTACAAAGAAAAAAAAAGTCAAATATTTGTATGTAAATAATGATTTCTCAGTAATGACTTAAATATTATAAAAGTATTTCATAAAATCCATAAAAAAACTGTATATATTTATGAGTTGAACAGTAAAGATTTCATCAAAATTAGAATTGAAATAACTTCTTGACAATGCTTTAAAAGATGTGTTTTTATATGAAATATATAGGGGAATATATGAATGAAGAAACATTTTTGACCTAAAACTGTGGATACCAAAAGGATGATTGTAGTTCAGTATGATATCAGTTGACCCAGTAGTTTCAGAAGAGAAGGTTTTTCTATGGATGAACTACAATGGACACCAAGTGATGGGCCAAGTAAGCTAATAAAAATAAAATGCTTCGCAGGGCGCAGCTTGATACGACCGCAGAGGTCGAACCCTGAACAGTTGGGGCAAGTATGGACACAACATTCAAGCTTGATACAGCTCTGAATTTGAATTGTGATTAAATATTTGACACAGCATAGGTTTCTGACACAGAATGAATGTGGTCTAAGAACTTAAAAATTTTAAATTGGACATTCACCTATTATGGTCCAATATCCAAAATCTAAATACATGGTTAGATTCAGCATATCAAAGAACCCCAAGAATTCAATTTTTGATGAAATCAAACAAAGTTTAATTTTGGACCCTTTTGACCTCAATGTGGACAAAGTTGATAATGGGGCCCAAAAATCAAAAATCTAAATACATGGTTAGATTCAGCATATCAAAGAACCCCATATATTCAATTTTTGTTGAAATCAAACAAAGTTTAATTTTGGACCTCGATTTGGACCAACTTGAAAACTGGGCCCATAATCAAAAATCTAAATACATGTTTAGATTCAGCATATCAAAGAACCCTAAGAATTCAATTTTTGTTAAAATCAAACTAAGTTTAATTTTGGACCCTTTGGACCTTAATGTAGACCAATTTGAAAACGGAACCAAAAATTAAGAATCTAAATACACGGTTAGATTCGGCATATCAAAGAACCCCAATAATTCAATTTTTGATGAAATCAAACAAAGTTTAATTTTGGACCCTTTGGACCTCAATGTGGACCAATTTAAAAACGGGGTTCAAAATCCAAAAACTTAATACACGGTTAGAATCAGCATATTAAAGAACCCCAAGAATTCAAGAATAAAACCCCATTGAAATTGGTCAAGAAATAAGCAATTTATACGAAGTATCTTCTTTTGCACAATACTGTGCAATTGAATATTTCTTGCTATTGCGCAATACTGTACAATTGACAATTTCTTGCTATTGGGCAATATTGTGCTTTTGGATATTTCTTGCTATTGCACAATACTGTGCAATTGAAGATTTCTTGCTATTGCGCAATACTGTGCAATTGAAGATTTCTTGCTATTATGCAATACTGTGCAATTGAAAATTTCTTGCTATTGCACAATACTTATTATATAATAATTTACACATTCTGTTTGGTGTGTATCTCCTACCATATCATTATTATTTGCTTAAATTTTAAAAGAAAAAAAAAAGGCAAAAAAGAAAAAAAGGAAAAAAAAAAAAAAATCCCCCCCCCAAATTTTTTGAAACCCCTTATGATTCATTACCCCCAAACTCTATCCCAGCCTTCCCTTTGTGGTATGGTACCTTGCAGTACAATTTCAGAGAGATCCATACACTTGAACACAAGTTATTGTCTGGAAACTAGAAAAATGCTTATTTTTGGCCCCTTTTTGGCCCCTTATTCCTAAACGTTTTGGGCAATTACCCCCAAACTCAATTCGAGCTTTCCCTTTGTGATATGGAACCTTGTAGTACAATTTCAGAAAGATCCATACACTTACACACAAGTTATTGTCATGAAACTAGAAAAATGCTTGTTTTTTGCCCCTTTTTTGGCCCCTAATTCCTAATATTTTGAGGCAATTACCCCCAAAATCAATCCCAGCATTCCCTGTGTGATATGGAACCTTGTGGTACAATGTCAGAGAGATCCATACACTAACACACAAGTTATGTCTGGAAGTTACAAAAATGCTTATTTTTGGCCCCTTTTTGGTCCTTAATTCCTTAACTGTTGATACCATAACCCCCAAAATCAATCCCAACCTTCCTTTTGTGGTATTGAACCTTATGGTAAAATTTCATAGAGATCCATTCACTTAAACTAAAGTAATTGTGCGAAAACCAATGTGTCTTCGGACGACGACGACAACGCCAACGTCATACCAATATACGACCGCAAAAATTTTTTGCGGTCGTATAAAAACAACAAAAACACAAATTGCTATCTTAGAGTACTTGGAAGTTACAGAGAAACAACTATCATTCAACACAAGTGACTTTTTGTCCTGTGACTTTGTCAATTTACAGGTCCTTAAATGTTTATGATGTAAAATCCTTACCAAAATATTAAGGGGGAGGACTCAAACTAAGTGTTTCATTTGGCCCTACTATATGAACTTTAGTTTTTTTCTGCAACTTTTTTAAACACTAGCCCCTACAGATAGCACAAAACGCTATGTATGAGTGTACATTTTACATATTTTGCTGATTACTTTTTACAGGTGTCTGACTTGTAAGTACTTACTGTTTCAGATCCAAGAGTTTGTAATCCTGTGTAAGTTCTGTCAAGCTAGAAAAAGAATATAAAGTAAACATTATATAAACATTGTTGTTATTGGTTACCTTTTTAAGGTGAAGATTGAGACCCTGTGAACCTATGCAGTGTTCTAGCTTCACCATTTTCCTAAGGAGCAGCACTAACTGTTTTGTTTATGTGTAATATCTTAGTATACTGCCTTTATATCAAGCCGCCTTTCACTTCTTACAAAATGTAAATTTTTAATTACTGAATGTCAACTAATTTCTGATCCATTACCAAATTGACATACACAATTTACTGTATTTTAAACAGCTATGTAGTTACATTAACCATTACAGCATATTCACCCGAATGTGTACAAAGTACAATAAAGTTAATTTGCTTGTTAGCTAGGTGGACCATAAAAATAAGTTTTTTAAACAGCCACTTTCTTTATGAGTCTGTCGCAAGTCAGGAGCCTGTAATTCAGTGGTTGTTTTTGGTTTGTGTCTGTCATATTTGTTTTTTCGTAAATTGAATTATGACTTAGGCCATTAGTTTTCTTGTTTAATTTGTTTTACATTTTGTACTTTCTGGACTTCTTAATCTTAGTCAACTATACAGTTTGGGTTTGTCTCATTGTTGAAGGCTGTAGGGTGACCTATAATTGCTGACTTCCACTTCATTAGAACACCTGTGGATAGTTGGTTGTCTGATTGACAATCATACCACTTATTTAAGAAATAATTCTTTCATTCCATGCTCTATGCTCATTTTAACATGGGTAGGCATTATATTTGTCAATATTTTTATACCGAGCGTTAGCGAGGTGTAAAATGTTGACAAATATAATGCCTACCCATGTTAAAATTAGCATAGAGCATGGCATGATAGAAATATTCGATTCTAATAGGAAAATTTAGTACTTTTGTAATTTCGAATCAGACCTATAATACGCGTCCAAAAGGCATCCATTTTGATTTGATGAAGCCAAAACCTTATAGAAAATCAACCGTTTCACGATAAACAAATGAACAGATATATGTAAACTTACTTTTATAATGATTTTATTTAATTTCCAAGCGAGCAAAACCAAAACAAATGTCCATTTTGATTTGTTCAAAACACAGACATTGCAATTTCAATTGTGACGTCAATCACGTGCAGCCCATGTTTTATTGGAATTAGAACATAGCTTTGTTTCCAAAGAGAAAGAAGAACGTCATATTAGAATTTTATATTACCATTGTTTACTACCTATTGAAACAGTAACAGTAGCAATTTACTCAATGAACTGGTAACCTAAGGGTAATTAAAAAATCTGTTGAACCAGTTTGTTATAATACTTACTAGAGATAATTAAGAATTTATGGTTTACCAAACAAACAAGTACACCTTTTTTGCATGCACAAAGTACACGCTCAAATAGACTAGCTGTAAAATACCTTGTATCCATTTTTCCAATTTTCATTTTGAATATTATTTACTGTTAATTCAGAAATCATTGCGTGCATTTATGATTCAATGGCGATTTTTGAAGTATGGACAAAAATGCGTGATTAATTATCAGGATTTAATGAAAAGCTGCATACAGATATATGTATCAGATATCAGAATGCAAGTTCTTATTATTGTGATACTCACCCAGTCTCATTATTGGCATTAATAAACTAGAGGCTCTAAAGAGCCTGTGTCGCTCACCTTGGTCTATGTGCATATTAAACAATGGACACAGATGGATTCATGACAAAATTGTGTTTTGGTGATGGTGATGTGTTTGTAGATCTTACTTTACTGAACATTCTTGCTCCTTACTATTATCTCTATCTATAATGAACTTGGCCCGGTAGTTACAGTGGAAAATATTTTGTAAAAATTTACAAAAATTTACAAAAATTTACAAAAATTGACTATAAAGGGCAATAACTCCTTAAGGGGTCAATTGACAATTTTGGTCATGCTGACTTATTTGTAGATCTAACTTTGCTCTACATTATTGCTGTTTACAGTTTATCTCTATCTATAATAATATTCAAGATAACCAAAAGCTGCAAAATTTTTTTTAAATTACCAATTCAGGGGCAGCAACCCAACAACGTGTTGCCTGATTGGTCTGAAAATTTCAGGGCGGATAGATCTCGACCTAATGAACAATTTTATCCTCATCAGATTTGCTCTAAATGCTTTGGTTTGAGAGATATGAGCCAAAAACTGCATTTACCCTATGTACTATTTTTTAGCCATGTCGGCCATCTTGGTTCACGGGCGGGGTCATGGGACACATTTTTTAAACTAGATACCCTAATGATGATTGTGAACAAGTTTGGTTAAATTTGTCTTAGTAGTTTCAGAGAAGAAGATTTTTGTAAAAGATTACAAAAATTTACGAAAAATGGTTAAAAATTGACTATAAAGGGCAATAACTCCTTAAGGGGTCAACTGACCATTTTGGTCAAGTTGACTTATTTGTAGATCTTACTTTGCTGAACATTATTGCTGTTTACAGTTTATCTCTATCTATAATAATATTCAAGATAATTACCAAAAATGGCAAAATTTCCTTAAAATTACTAATTCAGGGGCAGCAACCCAACAACTGGTTGTCCGATTCATCTGAAAATTTCAGGGCAGATAGATCTTGACCTGATAAACAATTTTATCCCATGTCAGATTTGCTCTAAATGCTTTGGTTTCAGAGATATAAGCCAAAATCTACATTTTACCCCTATGTTCTATTTTTAGCCATGACGGCCATCTTGGTTGGTTGGCCGGGTCACCGGACACATTTTTTAAACTAGATACCCCAATGATGATTGTGGCCAAGTTTGGTCAAATTTGGCCCAGTAGTTTCAGAGGAAAAGATTTTTGTAAAAGTTAACGACGACGGACGACGGACGCCAAGTGATGAGAAAAGCTCACTTGGCCCTTTGGGCCAGGTGAGCTAAAAACTCAAAATAATTTCTGAATTTACAGTATATCTATAGAGGTAACAGTATTTTCCTAGATTAGTCAGTAAAAGTAAAATATAATGCATGATGGATGTCTAAAAAATGTGACAGATAAACTTTATTTAAAAACAAAACTACACTAAATTTAAGCTTACTTTAAGCTGATGAATAATATCCACTCTTTTGTTTCTTTGATCCTTAAAATGAAGTTGCACTCTGACTGGGAACTCACCCCATCCTCTTCTGGTTAGATGGAATGGGGGTTGACTGTAAATAAAATACATGGAATAAGTTCTCATTTGTATTGAGTATTTAGTCAATATAAATTCTACTAAAAGTGTATTCAAATATAACAGGGGTTTTCTTGAATATGTTGAAAGTTTTTGTTCACAATTGAAGAACACAAAGTAATCTTAGAGATTATCAACAACATTTGTTGGTATAAAATTCAGAAAAAGACAATCTTATGAACAGCAACATTGCTAATAAATTCAATGTCTCTCGACCATGATCTAGTGGGCAGGGCCTTAAAAAGGTCAATATTCTGAGATGTATGCATCATTAATCTATCACAAGTAGTTCTTATCAGACTAAGTTAAGCAGAAAACTCAACATTGAAACTTGGTAATTAATTGAAAGTCACTGGATCATGACCTAGGGGACAGGGCCTCAAAATAGTTATCAAGCTTATATGTAATGATAGTAATACAACTTCATACAAAATATCATTAATCTATCACAAGCAGTTCCTATCAAACTAACTTAAGCAGAAAACTTAACATTGAATATTGCAAATTAATTCAAAGTCACTGGACCATGACCTAGGGGTAGGGCCTCAAAATAGTCATTAGACTTATATGAACTGATATTAATACAATAAAAGCATGCTGAATTTCCCCTCTGAAAAAAAATTAACTTTCTGAACATCAGTCTAGCGAAGAAACAATAACCAAATTTTGCATCATCAATTTTTTTCAGCTTGATTGGTTTATTTCGTCTATTATGAACAGAATAGTTTTTTTTGTAAATAACATAAAAAAAGTCACCTGCACTGGCAAGCAAATTATACTTTTGAATCCTTATTTTTTTTTTACTTTTCTTACTTCTCTGTCACTTTTGTCTTACCAAGACATATGCACTATGGCAAACAAATCTGTTTAAAACTGTTTTTACCTGTAAATTGTTTACCTTACTTCCACTAAATCATTAGGTCTATAACTAGGATGAAGAAAGAACCAAACTTTCTTTACATAATGATCAATTCTTGGTTCCTCTTTAGAACCTCGAACATACACCATCCATTTGTGTGTTGATTGGTCATTCTCCTCTCTGCGGTCTACAGGTATATACCTACAAAAATGAATGTCAGTTTTATCGTGAAATTTGGGTAGTGCTGATCCTAAATCCTCCACATTCAAACATAAAATATAGTGTGCTCATAAAATAGGCTGTAGTCTTTTGGGTCATTGCTTTTTTTTCAGATATAAATGCATCATTTGCGCAAAATTTTAATTTTCCATGGAATCATTTGTACCAGAATATTTCATGTCATAATTACCTGTATGCATATTTATCAAATTATCTATGTTACCAGTTAAATACAAAGTATATCAGTCCTTGGAAAATTATCGTACATTAAATACAATAATTTCAACAATAATAACAAATAATAACTTGTACCCTGTTCAAACTGCAAAAATTTTCCCCAGGTCAAACCCCCAATAGTTTTGATAACACATTTTAAAAATTAACCCACTTTTTGGGTTTTGGCACTCAACAAAAATAGACATGTTTGCACCATAATAGTTACTCGCATCTGTCACCTAGAGTTGTTTAAATTCTTTGCATCACAGTGACTTTATTTCAAAGTTTACAATTTTTTGCTACATATTTGATATAATAACACATTTTTAAAGTCATTTATGGTTGGATTTTAACATAGAATTGACTGATGTATTTTAGTTTATTTCGTCATAATTTTGACCAGTTGTTTTTCTTTTCTCCTGATGAGAACACGTTTTAATAATTTTTTTACATAATATTTGGTTGACATATATAGCAATTTTCGAACAGAAAATAAAATTAGTCTTTGTATCAACAGATCATGAAGACACAAAAAAAGTGAAAAAAAGACAGACAACCCAACACAATTGCCAAAAAAACATTACAAATCAACCAAAAGTTTTGCAAAATGAGCATAAATCTCTGTTGCCCAAAAATGATAAGCTGTTCCCTCTTAAGTAGTGGCACCCATTATATCTAAACTCTGAAATGATATGTTACATCATTGGTCAGCTTATATTTTAGGGAAAGATTTACGATATTTGTCTTTTTCATTTCATTTACATACTTTGAGACATTCCCCATTACAATTCTCTTCTTCGTTTTAAATCTTGAACTTCTCCCATCATCTTGATCAATCTTCATCTTTTCACTTTCTATATTCCCAACTGTTTCACATTTAGATAAGCAAGGATTACCAACGGAAGCCTACAAAATAACATAATTCAATTTTGCTTAATTGTAGCTATTTTGAAAACGTATGGCAAGCAGTATTGGTCTTTTATTAATTATAATATAGCATAATTTTTTGAATGTATGAGTCAAATTTCAGTGTGGTCCAGAACGAACCAGCATGAACTACCATGCATGGCTTAAGGCAATTCATTTATCAAAAGTAAAATTCCATGGTTGTCCTTTAACTTGTGTAAGCCATTATAATTTAAAGCTAGCCATACTTTTGGTGTGTTTGTCAATTGTTGAGCACTATTTAGCTGGATGTTTATGTAATTTGTATTGTTGGATTGCTGTTTCAATGATGTTTCCCAAATTTGTTACATTATCAAATAATGCTCTTAAAACATATTAACAATTTGCCACTGGACAATATATTAGGGAATCGTCAAAATCTCAATTAAACTCTATTTTGTCATTAGAAACCATAAAAAAATGTAAAAAAATCAACTTAATCTGCATTTTGTTACTGTAAACAAGGAAATTTTCACAGCAGTTTTATTTTCGCTATTTTTGCAGGAAGAGTTGAAAAGTAAAACTAAAACTACCGTGAATATTTCAAGGAAAACCGATTCATATGGTCAAGGATTTGTCTAGTACTAAACAAATCCTTGATAGGATGAAGACCATACATGAACTTATATCAATATGTAAAGGAACAATTTATATCATCAGTTTTACAGATGACAGATAGCTATACTGCACATCACAACTCTATTTCAAAATGAAAGGCAATGTTATAAATGAAAACTTTAAATCATGATAGTCTAATTAAAATGGAACACAATCCAAGCAAGCGTACAAGACGGATATTGTTATATAAACAATACTCATTACAGTAAAGTAAATGAAACCTGTCAATCGGTTTAATCACTACCACAGCATCAATCAGATCAAAAGATATAATTAATTAGTAGTAATCCTGTTGGCATTTAATTCATCCTTAATCCAGTAATTCTTCTGTTTATTGTGTGGTCTGTTAATACAAGCAAACATGAACTTTAAATCTTAATTTACATTAATAAACTGACGTATACTGATTACTTTGTTCAGCGTAAAAAAAGGATTCCTGATTAATTTTATCACCTGATTTACAATACATGTACAACTGTACAATTTCAAAGTCATTTATGAAAAATTCATATAGGACATCAGGATATTGCGAATTCAGATTTTTTTGGTAAATCAAGGAAAAAAGAAGACATGAAAATTTCCATGTTAACAGTATATAATACATAATAAAATTTTAAAAGGATTAGTTGAATGGTTCTAAATTTATTGCACAGAAACGTTTTGGAGTCACTGCCTAATCACTGTACTACCATAAATTAATAACAGATTTTTAGAAAACCTTGGTTAAAAAACTTTTTAATCATAATGTCTTTTTTCATTGTTACATATAAGTTGTTTGTGAACATACCTCATCAGGTTCTTTCTTCACAATACTTAAGTCAACAGATGGTAGGTTATCTCCCTTATTGGAGGTCTCCAGTGACATATAGTTTTTTGGAGCTTTACCTATATGTTCTTTCACAGTTGGATGGATATATGGTGGCTCATTAGGATTTTGTTTTATCTAAAATAAATAAATAATTAAAACATGCTGCATTATTTAATACCACATTGGTTAGGAAAACCTTTATGATGTTTAAAGTAAGAATGACAAAATTCGTAACTTCTGCGGAACCCTGTGTCTCGCCTACAATTGCTGCTGTCAGTGTAAAAGTGTAATGTTGACTTTAAGAGTGAGTCCATTTATCAGTAAAATATAGAATTTAAAAAAAAAAGAGTGCACACGCTGAAATGTCTCGCCTTCTTTACTGACCATTGATTTTATGTTGATAGTCCTAAATAAAAAGCTTTACTAAAAGTATCACATAAACTTAACATGATCCAAGAAAATGAGGTCAAGGTCAGATAAACCAAACCAGAATTACATGTACACCTTACAATCATTCAATACACCAATTATAGTTGACCTATTGCTTATATTAATTATACTTTCTAAGAAACAGACTTAAACAGGAAAACTAAACATTGACCAATGAACCATGAAAATAAGGTCAAGGTCAGATGAACCATGCCAGACAGACATGTACACCTTACAATCAATCTATACATTAAATATAGTTGACCTATTGCTTATAATATCTAAGAAAAAAACTTAACATTGACCACTGAACCATGAAAATGAGGTCAAAGTCAGATGATATCTGCCAGACAGACATATACACCTTACAATCATTCCATACAAAAAATATAGTAGACCTATTGGTTATAGTTTAAGAAAAACAGATCAAAACACAAAAACTAAACACTGAGCAATGAACTGTGAAAATAAGGTCATGGTCAAATAAAACCTGCCAGACTGACATGTACATTGTAAAAATATTTCCATACACCAAATTTATAGTTGACCTATCGCATATAGTTTTAGAAAAAAAGACCAAAACACAAAAACTTAACTTTAACCACTGAAAATGAGGTCAAGGTCAGATGATACCTGCCAGTTAGACATGTACACCTTACAATCATTCCATACACCAAATATAGAAGACCTATTGCTTATAGTATCTGATATATGGACTTGACCACGAAAACTTAACCTTGTTCACTGATCCATGATATGAGGTCAAGGTCAGATGAAAACTGTCTGACGGGCATGAAGACCTTGCAAGGTACGCACATCTTAAATATAGTTATCCTATTACTCATAATAAGAGAGAAATTAACATTACAAAAAATCTTCAGTTTTTTTTCAAGTAGTCACTGAAGTATGAAAATGAGGTCAAGGACAATGGACATATGACAGACGTAAACTTCATAACATAAGGCATCTATATACAAAGTATGAAGCATCCAGGTCTTCCAGCTTATAAAATATAAAGCTTTTAAGAAGTTAGCTAACGCCCCCGCCACTGCCAGATCACTATCCCTATGTCGAGCTTTCTGCAGCAAAAGTCGCAGGCTCAACAAAAATCTAACTTTTTCTTTAAATCTATTTCTTGGTCTTGAAGATTAGCTTCTGTCCAATTTTCATAACAATCCATGCAGGTTTACATACTTATCATGTCAACAAAAATTTAATCCAAGACTTCTGTAAATGTTAACCGTAATAAAAAAGTCCATCTATCAGAAAAATACTGAAAATGAAAATGTATTTTCAAAAGTTTGCTTCAGACATTATCTCTTAATCATAAAATAAACTTCTGCCAAAATTTCATAAAATTCTATGATGGTTTGACAAAGTATTTGATGTGTAATAAACTTTAACCCCAGACTGTATTTACTTGTCAACTATAAAACAAAAACGAAGTCCATTTATCAGTAAAATATGGAAAAATGAAAAACAAATATTTTCAAAATTTTGCTCTGGATACTGTATTTTGGTCATAAACAAGCTTCTGTCCAAATTTTATAAAATTCCATGAAGGTTTGACAAAGTTATTGATGTCTTAAAAAACTTTAACCACAGACAGAACCTAAATGTTGACGCCTCTGACGACAGAATCTAGAATCGTTATGTCTCGCTTTCGCAACATAAATGTTGCAGGCTCGACAAAAATAGCTATTTAAAACCTTAGGACTCTTATGTACTTAGTACTTTCAATGTAAACTATGTAAAAAAGTCAGTTTTACTAGCTGAAATCTGTAATGCAAAATAAATATTAGTCTGAATTTTTAAAACTAAAAATATGAACCAAATTCTTTTGGACTGAAATGCTCTAGATGAAGGCCAATATTTGCTGTTACCATAATTGAACACACTATAAATATTGACGTGAAGGACAAAGAAAACTGAATAGGTGACATCCTTAAACGATTTACAATAACATACTTAGACAGGTTAGGATGAAGTTAAATGATTATGAAAATTTGAGAAAAAATTTGTAAGGGGTTCCAAAACCCTGTGTCTCGCCCTCCATTACTGCTGCCAGTGCAAAAGTGTAATGTTGACTTAAAACTAGAGGCTTTCAAGAGCCTTTGTCGCTCACCTGTATCTACTGTGGTTTTGGAAATCATGTAAAATAAAATCATAATAAATAGTATTAGATACCCCAAAAATGATTGAGACCAAGTTTGGTTTAATTTGGCCCAATAGTTAAATTAAAAGCAGGTCATCCCATTGTAGTCTTACAACAGTTACTGAAGACCCCTTATCATTATTTAAATTAGTTTTCAAGTTGTGACCATTTGAATTTGTTTTTTACAATTTTCCCATAGACTTCTATAGTAAACCCAGTGTTCTCCCCAGGATTTTTGGATAGCACCAGGGTAACGCGTGTGGACTTCTTGGTGAAATATTTCATGCAATCAGTTGTGTCGCGTCGCGATGCTTATCTCTAGTTACTGTAGTTTTTATGTCTCTTGTTTTGTTTTAATACTGTGGTACTGTGTTATGTAGACATTGATTTAGAAAATTATTGGTAAAAAAGAAAGTAAATCAAAAAACAGTTTGTATACTTTAATATTTTTTTAAAATAAATAAATTATAATTCATAATAAAATATTCATCTGAATTTAAAGTAATTAAATCTTTAATAAAATCCGAAATCAATAAAAATAAAATATCATTAAAAGTGAACAAAAATGTTCTATTTAAAAAACATTCTAGTTTCTAGAAAAAAGTTGTTGTATGTGAAAGGATTCTTGTCATAAGAAGATATAAAATTAACAATAACAATTGCAAATATTGTTTTATTATTTGAACCAGTTTCTATCTTAGATTTTAATAAAAAGAAATTTCATAAATTTTAGAACATTTTGCCATAGATTTCATGTAAATATTAACCTTTCTTGTCTTTGGTGATAATCAAAAATAGATACAGACTTAATACTGCCCTGAAATCTAAATCTTTATTTGTCATGAACCATTTAAAAGGAATTCCTAAATCTATAAATTTATCTTTGGTCTATAGATCTATAAGTAACCATATTCAATGTCAACAACTAAGTCTCCCTATTTTCCCGCCTAAATGACAGGAAGTAGATATAAATAGATTTAACATGTGCTTATGGATAAAATTTGCAAGAATTAGATTACTTCTGATATTCATTGATTATGGATATAGATATCCAGTTTTAAGGTACAGTCATGCATTTTATTTATAAAATATAATAGATTGCAATTAATTGTAAATAAACTTGAATATTCTACGTGAACTAACTGGGTCATGTGATATGTACAGACAGATACTACAGTTTGAAACCCGACTATCATGCAATAACTATGTCATAATTAAAGATAATATTGTCCATGGTTTAATCAGAGACATATAATACTATATTATAAGTATTGGGAAATGTATAGTTGTCCATTATACGTAATGAGCCACCTTTATGATGTACACAAAATGTACCTATCAGGTCAAGACACTGTTTGTGTACAAAGTATTTACCGACTTGTCACTGGTCAGTGCTTGGGTGGAGAGTGAAGCCATAAAATAGTTATCTGTGATCATAAAGTTATGAACTCTTAATTAAAACACAAAAGAATCATGTTACAAGTGTTAATTACATCGATTAAATGCAATCAACAAGGTTAACCTCGTAAGGTAAATCGATCACGTGGTGTAAACAATCTGTGTTGAACTGGTTTGAACTGGTCAAATTTCACCTGGAATTTTATACCGCACGGAAAAGATTTAACAAGTCGTTTAAAACTTTACCGATTTACGATTTTTTAACTGATTATTTTAGCACCACGGAGAAAAATTATACATCGCGGTAAGAACGATACCACCGCGGTAAAAAATTATACATCGCGGGCCCGCGGTCCTTTAAGGGCCTGGGGAGAACACTGGTAAACCCCTATGTTCTGTTTTTGCCATGGCGGCCATGTTGGTTGGATGGAAGGGTCATCAGATACATTTCTAAATTAAGATACCCTATTGAAAATGGTGGCTAAGTTTAATTCCATTTGGCCCAGTAGATTAAATGGGGAAGATTTTTGTAAAAGATTACAAAAATTTATGAAAAATTGTGAAAAATTGACTTGAAAGGGCAATAACTCCTGAAGGGGTCAATTGACAATTTTGATCATGCTGACTTATTTGTAGAGCTTACTTTGCTGAACATTTTTGCTGTTTAGTTTGTCTATATCTATTATTATATTCATGATAATAACCAAAATTGCAAAATTTCCTTAAAATTACCAATTCAGGGGCAGCAACCCACCAACAGGTTGTCTGATTCGTCTGAAAATTTCAGGGCAGATAGATCTAGACCTAATATACAATTTTACCCCATCAGCTTTGCTCTAAATGCTTTAGTTTCAGAGATATAAGCCAAAAACTGCATTTTACCCCCATGTTCTATTTTTAGCCATGGTGGCCTTTTTTTTGATGGGCGGGGTCATCAGATACATTCTTTAAACGAAGTATGATTTAGGCCAAGTTTGGTTTAATTTGGCCCAGTAGTTTCAGAGGAAAAGATTTTTGTAAAAGTTAACGGCCAGGTGATCTAAACAAGAGGCTCTCTAGAGCCTGAATCGCTTACCTGCATTTCAGAGGAGAAGATTTTTAAATGTTAGCAAACTTGATGAACAAATTGTGTAAAATTGTCTTTAAAGGGCAATAACTCCTTAAGGGGTCAATTGACAATTTTGGTCATATAAACTTTTTTGTAGATCTTACTTTGCTGAACATTATTGCTGCTTACAGTTTATATATATCTATAATAATATTCAAAATAATAACAAAAAACTGCAAAATTTTGTTAAAACTACCAATTCGGTGGCAGCAACCCAACAATGGGTTGTTCGATTCGTCTGAAAATTTCAGAGCTGATCCATCTTGACCAACTGAACAATTTTACCCCATGTCACATTTGCTCTAAAAGCTTTAGTTTTTGAGATATAAGCCAAAAACTGCATTTGACCCTTATGTTCTATTTTTAGCCATGGCGGCCATGTTTGTCGATGGATACAAATTTCGGATACAATTTATAAACAAGATACCCTAAGAAACATTTAGTTAAAAGTTGAGGGTAATTGGCCCAGTAGTTTCAGAGGAGAAGATTTTTGAATGTTAGCAAACTTGATGAACAAATTGTGTAAAATTGTCTTTAAAGGGCAATAACTCCTTAAGGGGTCAATTGACAATTATGGTCATATTAACTTTTTTGTAGATCTTACTTTGCTGAACATTATTGCTGCTTACAGTTTATATATATCTATAATAATATTCAAAATAATAACAAAAAACTGCAAAATTTTGTTAAAACTACCAATTCGGCGGCAGCAACCCAACAATGGGTTGTTTGATTCGTCTGAAAATTTCAGAGCTGATAGATCTTGACCAACTGAACAATTTTACCTCTTGTCAGATTTGCTCTAAAAGCTTTAGTTTTTGAGATATAAGCCAAAAACTGCATTTGACCCCTATGTTCTATTTTTAGCCATGGCGGCCATGTTTGTCGATGGATCAAAACTTCGGATACAATTTATAAACTAGATACCCTAAGGAACATTTAGTTAAAGTTTGAAGGTATTTGGCCCAGTAGTTTCAGAGGAGAAGATTTTTGAAATAGTTTACGACGACGACAGACGACGACGACAGTCGACGTCGGACGCCAAGTGATGGCATAAGCTCACATGGGGCCCTTCGGGCCCCGGTGAGCTAAAAAGAGTATATTTATCAGCAAAATACAGAATTTAAAAACTTAAGATGCTATTTCTTTGTCTTGAAGATTATCTCTTTCCAAGTTTCATAACAATTCAAGACAGTTTACAAATTTATCATGTCAAAAAAATTTAATCCCAGACTGTCTGTCAATGTTAACTGTAAACAAGCATTCTGAGAGTATTGCATGGCAATGCATAGTCCCCTACCGATTAAAAATTCATTGGACTGGAACAAAATGCTAACTTGATCTATAACTTGTCATGGTGTAAACTATATAACTAATATCAAATCAATATCTTCAAGCATGACGAAAAAAAAGTGTGGAAAACTGATTATTTAAGTGAATTTTCTAAGTCCAAGGACCATAACTCTGCACAAAATCATCAGACAGGAACAAAATTAGAACTTGATCTGTAACTTGTCATGATAAAATTATATACAAATTATCAAATCAATATCTTCAAGCATGCAGAAAAAAAGTGAGGAAAACTGAGTATTTGAGTGAATTTTCTAAGTCCAAGGACCATAACTCTCCACAAAATCATCAAACCAGAACAAAATTCGAACTTGATATGTAACTTGTCATGATAAAACAACACAATAAATATCAAATCAATATCTTCAAGCACGAAGAAAAAAAGTGGAAAACTGATTTGCTGGACTGACGGATGGACAGACAGACAGACAGACAGACAGACAGACAGACAGACAGACAGACGGACGGACGGACGGACGAAGTGCAAACCTAAAGTCCCCTTCGATTTCGTCGTTTGGGGACTAAAAAACTAAGTCCATCTGTCAGACAAATACTGAAAATAAAAAAAAAATTATTTTCAAAAGTTTGCTGCAGACATTATCTCTAGATCATAAAAAAACTTCTGCCAAAGTTTCAAAAATTCTACATGTATGATGGTTTGACAAAGTAATTGATGTGTAACAAACTTTAACCCCAGACTGTATCTTCTTGTTAACTGTAATAAAAACTAAGTCCATTTATCAGTGAAATATGAAAAAATGAAAAAAAAAAGTTCTAAATTTTGATATGGATACTATCTTTTGGTCATAAACAGGCTTCTGTCCAAATTTCATAAAATTCCATTAAGGTTTGACAAAGTTATTGATGACTGAAAAAAATTCTACATGCATGAAGGGTTGACAAAGTAATTGATGCGTAACAAACTTTAACCCCAGACTGTATCTACATGTTAACTGTAATAAAAACTAAGTCTATTTATCAGTGAAATATGGAAAAATGAAACATTTAAACAAACCTAAACACAAACATTAACTTGTAAACTATGTAAAAGTTTCAAAGTCAATGAACCATAATGAGGGGGCGGGGTTATATAACCTCTATGGAAATAAAACTTGCAAATATCAATACATTTGCATACCAAATATCATTGACTTAACATTAGTGGTTCACCTTAAACTGACCTAATCACACACTAATACATGTAAACTAAGCAAAAGTTTCAGTCAATAGACAATGACTGAGGGGTAAGGACCAAATATTCTCCAATGAAATGAGATGAGCTAATGATTATACAACTGCATACCAATTATCATTGACCTATCACTAACAGTTCCCCTTAAACTGACCTAATCACAAACTAATACATGAAAACTAAGCAAAAGCTTCAGTCAATAGACCATGAATGAGGGGGTGGGGCCCAAATAATCTCCATGGAAATGAGATATGCCAATACTTATACAACTGCATACCAAATATCATTGACCTACCACAGTGGTTCCCCATAAACTGACCTAATCACAAACTAATACATGTAAACTAAGCAAAAGTTTCAAGTCAATAGACCATGACTGAGGGGGCAGGTCCAAATAATCTCCATGGAAATGAGATATGCCAATGCTTATACAACTGCATACCAAATATCATTGACCTACCACTAGTGGTTCCCCATAAACTAACCTAATCACACACTAATTCATATAAACTAATCAGTTTCAAAGTCAATAGACCATGACTGAGAGGGCGGGTCAAATAATCTCCATGGTAATGAGATGTGTCAATGCTAATATAACTCCTTACCAAATATCATTGACCTGCCACTAGTGGTTCACCATAAACTAGACCTTATCACAAACTTATTCATTGTTGACACCGCCGCCGCCCAAAACAGCATACCTATGTATCGCTTTTTGACTTTGTCAAGGCGAGACAAAAAACTAAGTCCATTTATTAGTAAAATACAGAAAAATGAAAATATATATTTTCAAAATTTTGCTCTGGATACTACATTTCGGTCATGAACAAGCTTGAACTGCTTCTATCCAAATTTCATTAAATTCCATGAAGGTTTGACAAAGTTATTGATGTCCAAAAAATATTTACCCACAGACTGAACCTAAATGTTTACGCCACCGACAGAATCTATGATGGCTATGTCCCGCTTTAGGAACATAAATATCGCAGGCTTGACAAAGAAGGGCTTTCAACAAATTGGTATCTTTGTTTTTTTTTCTACGGTTTTACAACTTTAACATTCACATTCTCCTGTACAATGCTTATGTTTCTTACGTTACAGTTAAAAGTTGATCGCTCAATGACATCATTTACACCCATTGACCTCAGGTAACTCATTCATAGAAAGCATATGACGCTGGAGTATGATTGGAACAGCACAAACAAATCCAATGTTGTTGATCGGCTGACATACAATATATTTGTATTTTACCACAGGTGTGTACGCAAAGCGTTTGAAGAACGTCATACTAGAATGTTAAGTTTCTTACACTTAATATTTAAGTGAGTAGTTTGTAAATCATCTTTTTCAGAATGATAACTGTTTTGAGCTCTCTTTTTCATAAAACTTAACTTTTGAGGTAGCATTTGAGCCATGGTACTCTACCTGTGAGAATTTCTGCTGTCCTGCTTTCGAATAAAAGTTAGCTATGATGCAAGCCCTAAGTCTATCCATTACCATTCTACTTTGATTTAATTTCTGAAAATTTAATTGTATAATTAATTAAGTTAGTATATCAAAGAGTTTACAGAGTTCCCAAAGTAAAGAGCAACACTAAAATTTACAAGTCACAAACAATTTTTTTTTTAATTTTTAACAATACCGTTTTAGTTTTGCATTTCATTTGGTAATAATTTATCAGTATTCCAATGTTCCCTGCCTATGCATATATTTTATCTGTCCAAGGGCAATAACTAAAAAATTTGTTTTGTTCTTTTTAACTTTTTTATAAATATCCTTCAAGAAATATAGGCATGAGATTGTTTACACTGATATTTTCCTTATAATTTCTATTTCCAAGTGGCATAACTGCTGTAAAAATATTTGATCAGCACTGATTAACTCTTCAAAGACCTTGCTGATTTTAACCATTGATATAAATTTCATTAAAATCTGACAAGAAATGTAGGTATGAGAGTGCTCACAATGCATTGTTCAATATAAATTATATTCAATCGGATTATTATAAACTGTTTAGGCTGATACTGTAAGATTATGCTTTCTAGGTGTTTTTCTTGCAGTTACTAGCAAAAACAGGTTCCTAAGATGGCTGAACATTATTTGATTGTATTAACTTAATGTTGTTTCTCTACTTGGAGCGTCATTAGTTCAACCATTCTGTCTTAAATGTCTAATTAATCTTGTTATTGTCATAGAAACTCATGAATAACAATTATCCACAGAAGAGAGAAAACAAAGTCAACAAAGGATTTTTTGGGTTGCTGTCTCATTGATGTTTGTCCATTGTTACCATTATAAATCATACAACAGCTAACAGTACAGTGAGCAAAAAATGAATTTAAGTGGTGAAAAATAAGTTGGAATGGCCTTATTATACTGATTAGTTTGTTTTTTAACCTTGCATATCTCATACAACTGTCGTTCTAACTTGAAATTTTGCAAATAAAATGCATGGTTTTTACCTGATCAGCCTCGTCTACTTCTTCTTCTTTGTTCTGTATTTCCATTGTAAACTGACCGTGAATAATATTCTCAATCTTACGTCTTGTTGCTTCCTTAGCTGAAAAAGATTAAGCAATATCATTTTGTTACATGTCTTATTCTTATGGTTTTTTTTTCTGCATCTGAAAACTATTTATTTTCTTTCCACTTTTTCACATTTCTTCCAATTTTGATTATTTTACATAATTCTGAACAGAAAGAAGATGCCGTCTCTTTATCATTCTTATAACTTCCATCTGTAGAAAATTTGTCGATTGTTTTCATTTAAAATATTTTTTTTAGCTTTTATGCTCGTCTCATTTACGTCTAGATTTTTTTTTATAGGATGCCAAGTGATGGCAATATATTCAACTCACACTGGCCTTTGGGGTAGGTGTGCTTAAAATTTGTTAAATCGATAATTTATGCATTTGTGTCTGTTATTTTTTTTCTGTAATATTCAGTGAAACGATACAAACCATCCTCTTCAAATACTCTTTGTCTCTTTGACTGCTGCTCTGTAACATCTTCATAATCTGGGTCAAGGTCAATATGTCCACGTTTAACAGCCATTCTACAATTCTGCAAATATAAATGACTAGATATATTATGAGATAACAAGTACATGTACATGTATGCGTCACTCTGCTTTGCTGCTTTAACAAAGTTCATAAGTAAGAAAATAACATAGTTTGCTTCAGTGTCTTGTAAACTATAAATTTTTTGCTTCTTTTAACATGCACTTTTTAACAAATTTGATTTTGGGGCTTACATTATATATAATAGATTATATCTTTCTTTGTTATAATTTTTATGCCCCTTGGGGCCCAAAATTGGCTAAAAAAATTTATCTTATCTTATATAAACCTGATAACACAAAATTTCCTTGATTAGGTTTGGTGGTCTGTAAAAACCCAAATTTCCCATGAAAATCCTCAGGTAAGCAAACGTATGCAGTCTTTTTGCGCCTGTCCCAAGTCAGGAGCCTCTGGCCTTTGTTAGTCTTGTATGTTTTTTAATTTTAGTTCATTTATATGTTTTGGAGTTTAGTCCATTTTCACTGAACTAGTACACAATTTTATTGAGGGGCCAGCTGAGGACCACCTCCGGGTGCGGGATTTTCTCGCTGCATTGAAGACCCATTAATGGCCTTCGGCTGTTGTCTGTTCTTTGGTCAGGTTGTTGTCTCTTTGACATATTCCCCATTTCCATTCTCAGTTTTTTTAGATGCTGTAGGTCTTGCTTTCAAACTTAATATAACATCACTAAATAAGAATGGATTCATGACAAATGTTAAACCAACAATATTATAAATTGTATATTGTATAATTCATTGAATCTTAGATTTTCTTAATTTTTCAGCATTCCATCTTTGATACATCATTATGCAGCTAATGATCATAAACGCCTTTATTATTTAATTCTTATTTTTAAATTTTTATCTTTTTACAAATGTTAATTGCCATGAATCATGTGAATTGTAAGCATAAGTCACTCACAGTATAAAAAGACTTTACTCTTTAGTTAATATTTAACTTTATAAAGAAGTGTAACAATATTTAAATATAAGGAAAACACATGAGGTTTTTATAGGGGGCTAGTTGGAGTAAAATTCACACCCATTAGTTTTATGGGTGTGTGATTTTTTTGCACAACAGTAACATGAGAGGGTGTTTACAAAATGCAAATAGACCTGTCAAAACTGCAACGATAGGATTTTTTTAATTAACGTTAAAAAAAATACTTTGACGCAAATCTTCGTGTATCTTATTATTTTGATAATATAAAGTTTTGTATGTAAGGTCAGCCAATGTTTGCACTTAATATACAGAGTTTGTGAAGTAGATATCAGATTGTTTTGGTAGTAATTTCATTTTACGTTTCATGGAGGCCGCCATGTTGATCAATCAATGAAAGGTACAACAACTGTGATTGGATAAAACAGATAGGTCATGATTACTCGTGTGGAAAATTCCGCGAAACCAATGAAGAGAAAAGAATAAAAGCACGTGTTTTCAGTTTTAGATACAAATTAAATAAATTTATCTGTAAAAGCACACAAGACGGGAAAATGTACACCTCTTACTTACTTCAGAGTTCTTTCTAAACAGAGTCTTAACAAATAGAAATGAATAAATGTAACAACAACAAAATTTTTTTAAAAAAAACATAATAAAATCTTTTATTTAATCTGAGACTACTATACTGTTATAGTAGTCTCAGATTTAATGTATTGGCCTGTTGGCTTGATCTAATTATTGAAGGCAGATTTTGGCCATTTATTTATTTAATTGTTTGGGTATTTTAAGAATTAAGCTATTCAGACGCCAGAAAAAAACTTTTATATTTGGCATGAACAAGGAAAAAAATTGCTTCGTTATATTAACGTTACGCTACTCGTCAAACTTGATTTTTTAGGGAATCGTTAGCTCCTACACTGGCCACTGTGACATCGAAAACCCCAAAAATGTCATACTGAGGATGGTCGTTATCATTGAACCTAATAACATAATTATTCAGTCGCTTTTTTACCTTTTACCTAATGGCGGATCCATGGGGTGGGGGGGGGGGGGGTCCGGGGGTTGGAACCCCCCTTTTTTTGACGATCAATGCATTTGAATGGGGACGTACAGTTGGACCCCCCTTATCCTGGGTTGGGAACCCCCCTTTTATAAATGGCTGGATCCGCCCCTACCAGACATAATTATACCACATGTGATTAGGTCTCTGCTTTTACTTTATATTTTGCATACCTACCGTATAGGATACTGCCTTACCTATTTTTTTCAAGGAGCTAGTCAGGGACATGATTATCTAATGCTCGCAGGAAAACTTAATTCTAAAATATTTGGTCTTGACCCCACAAATATAGGATATCTATTGCAGTAAATTACGGAGACTCAGTCGTATAGATGCCCCCCCCCCCCAAACCAAAAAAGCAACCAAAAAACAAATCACAAAAAAAACACCTTGCAAAGCCAAAATTACAACCGATGTGGACAGTTAATAAATTCGATGATAGATTATAGAAAGCATCGAATGAACACTTCCACAGTGCAAACCAACAGAAAGTCGAATCTCAGCAATTAAGAATCAGAGTTCGCAAAAAATCATCTGAGACATTTCTGAAAAACCACGCTTTACCGAAAAAGAGAGCGGATGTACATGATGTGGTGATTTATGATATATATGTTTAATTGCACAAACAAAAACTTGTTTTCAAGTTACTACCAAAAGTCTCTTTTCTATCTGTATTTAATATGGATAACTGTATTGAGGGTGATTGGCTCAAATGAAAGATTTTTTTTTTGGCGCAAAAATCAAAGCACCGAACTAGAGTACCATACAAATAACTTTACATCAAAATACCTATATAATATACATCTGAAAAAAAGATGTGCTATGATCGACAATGTGACAACTACCCACCAAATTCCAAATGACGTTGTTGTTGTAGGAAATATCTGCTTCTCTAGGAGATATTCGAAGTGTACTTGGGATCGAATGTAAAAAATGAATACTTGAATACCACTGGAACTCGGTTGGCAGACATATTTTTTAATCATTGTCAATTTCAAAAGTTTTGTTTTTCGTATTGCCTGCCTATTTGTTTTAATTATCAACGTTGCCAGCACCAATTTGTATGTATATTAACAATGTGCACTATACTATCCATGTCCATATACTAAAACACAGGTACTCGGTTAGAGGATATATAATTTTCAATCATTGTAATTTTTTGCTCAGTATAAATACAGTATACTACACATTGCTAGTAGATCTATGGTTACATTTACTCGCACGTTTTTTGTTTTTTGTTTTCTTTGGTTTGGGGCGATTAAGAGACTTGATAAATTGTATAAAACACTTATTGTTGTATGCATGCATATTGACCACTAGACGTGTTATGGTTATTTGTGATGTTGGGTCGCTGTATCATTGACCGTATACTGAATATCTTCTTGTATTCACAAACATGCAGAAGAATCCTGACATTTCCGTTTTAACTGGAAATACAATTCACAAATACCTTCTGCACAAATTTGCTACCACTATAAAATGAAGCCTCTGTTTCCAGACAGTCAGTGCCCAAGTGACAAAAAATAAGTATTTTATGACATTGTTTCTATGTCGCATTTCCTCGAATAACTTTTTTGACTGTTAGATTGCAATAATAAATGCACACAATAACTTCTTTTATATCGAGGGTTCAGAGCAAATAGGTTCTATCTGCATGCTTTGCATCATTTCGTAGTTTTATATGCAGAAATAAGTGAAATAATATTATTTATTATCTGCGAAAAAAATCGAAGTCATATATTAATTAATATGATTGAAAAAAGTAATATGTTCAAAGGTTTTATCTACAAATGTCAAGTTTAATTTGTGCAAAAAGGTTCTATTTACATTGACCTATGAGCAAAAAGGTTCTATCTGCCAGATAGTACCTTTTTGCCCTATAAATAAGCAGATCATTAAGATATCAGAATGAGATATTTTATTACATGAGATTATATTTCATTTTACTGCTTGTGTTTTGTTTTGATAATGTTATCTGTGGAATGTGTACCAGTTTCAGCATCAACACACATAATTACGCCAGTAAACACATGTTAAAAGACAAAAGAATTAATATCATACACAAGTAAGTTTCTTTCTCAGTTTTATATACAAGTTTCTTTTTTTTATATATATATATGTACATTTTTAGTCCCGTACCGACGAAGTCGAAGGGGACTTTAGGTTTCCACTCCGTCTGTCTGTCTGTCTGTCTGTCTGTCTGTCTATCCATCTGTCAGTCCGGCAAATCAGTTTTCCATACTTTTTTTCTTCGTGCTTGAAGATATTGATTTGATATTTGGTTTATTGTTTTATCATGACAAGTTACAGGTTAAGTTCAATTTTCACGATTTTATCTTTCTCTTTGTTCAGTTAAAGCCCTTTCCCTAGAACTAAATTTTTGATGAAATACTTATTAATTAGTAGATTTCTGTTCAAAGGGAAATAACTCATTTTAAAAAAAAATTAAAAGACAAAATGACATTTTGGATTTTTTCCTTGTCTTTGGTAAATTGTTTGAAGAATTTAGTGGAAGTTTGTTTGTCATTCTTAAAGATATTGATTTGATAATTAGTATATAGTTTTATCATGACAAGTTACAGATCAAATTGGAATTTTGTTCCGGTCTGATGATTTTGTGCAGAGTTATGGTTTTTGGACATAGAAAATTCACTTAAATAATCAGTTTTCAACCGTTTTTTCCGTCATGCTTGAAGATTTTTACTTGATATCTTTATGTAGTTTACACCATGACAAGTTACAGAACAAGTTAGAATTTCGTTCCATTACAATGATTTTTTAACCGGTAGGGGACTATGTATTGTCATGCAATACTCACAGAATGCTTGTTAAGGTTCATGTGGACCCTTCGTCTAAAATGGCTGCATTTTCACCTCAAAATTTATTCTGAGTACAGACAAACCTGTGCATCTGGAAAAGTTTTAAGGCATAGCATGCCCTAGATAAATAAAATTCAAATATATTTTATGTTTTAGAAAATTAAAAACTTAACTGGATTTTGCAGTGCACTTTTTTTCATTCCTCCAGAAGATGCCAAAATAAACTAAGTTGGGAAAGAGGTTTGAGAACTTCCCCACAGGTAATAATTGAAGTGAACTGTTTTGATTGACATGGACAATAGATGGACAATAGATACCTGACAATAATTGGTGATTTAAACTGTGTACCTGAGTGGACCATATCAAGTGAAACTCAACTGTTTGTTAATTTTATCATCTTCTGCAGGGACGAAAAAAAGTGCACTGCTAAATCCAGTTAAGTTTTAAATTTTCTAAAACATACAATGCATTTGAAGTTTATTTATCTAGGGCATGCTATGCCTTAAAACTTTTCCAGATGCGCAGGTTTGTCTGTACTCAGAGTAAATTTTGAGGTGAAAATGCAGCCATTTTAGCCAAAGGGTCCACATGAACCTTAATTTAGTAATATATGTAAAATACATATGCATATTTCATTGATTAATGCAATGATAATGAAAGGAAGTAATTGGAATAGGTAATGAGGATCTTCATAGGGTGTCTATTTTTAATAACATACATTGATTTCTGTTACTGTGAGGAGTGAACATTAAAGATTTCAGTATTATGAAAGACGATAAAAAAGCTTACAAGTTGTCGAATAAGTATTATTTATTATGAGGGCCTTTAAAAAAATTGGGTATCTTATAATAGTAATATTGGTCCTTAATTGGGAAGAAGCAAATGCTATTAAAAGAGTTTTTATAATGGATATATTGATAGTTGCTTGCTCAACATCCTATTTATGATGGAATCATTATGCCGGACTTATAAGATTGCTATTTAGTATTTATAAACAAAGCATACAGATATTTTCAACTAAACTATAACTTTTATATCTGCATAATAATCCAATTAAACATGGATATACTTTCTAAATTGCATAACATGTAAAAAATAAATATTGATTTTACATTTTTAAATTGTTTCAGATGGATTCTGACATAGATTGGCTAGATTGGTCAGACCTGAAAGCAATATCAGAGACCATTGCTCAAGAAATAGAAAAAAAAACCAGAAACTTCAACAACAGCACTGACACACAGGACACGATTATAACATCGATTTGCCCTACTTCAACAGCTTATACTGCAGTCTGTAACAACAAGAAAACATCAACAGTCTCTGATAAATCATCTGATGAGTCTGATCCAGATGATAGCATACCTTTGTTTAATGTAACAAAAACAAGCAGCGACTACAGAAACAAGCTCTTAAAGCCATTCTGAGAAAACGGGAAAATATTAAAAGTTTGCCAACTGGTTCAAATCTAAAGAACAAGAAACAGAGAACAAAAGACGACCCAGATGATAATATTCCATTGATAAATGTTACACCAAACAAAAAATATTGCAGAAACAATATCTTAAAACTTTTCCCAAGAAGTTGAAAAATAATGCAGTTAAACGATTGTCAACATGTTCAAATTCATTGAGATCAAGACAATTTTCATACTAAAAACTTTACTCTTTCAGAGAGAGAAAAGAGAAGACAGAACCATGTCATGAATACACAGATCTCACTGATGATTCAGGCAAAGATGATACGTATAAGCCAACTAAGGAAGATGTATACTCTTCTGACTCTATTTCTGATGCCGAGTCTATTCAGAACATAACATTGATTAGGAAACAAAGGAAAAGGAATTACTGTAATAAAGACTGGAAAAGAAAAGGTAAAACATTAAAGCACATTCAGTCAAAGAAACGAAAGATTGTAGCTGTGGTAAAAAAAAAAAAAAAAAAAAAAAAACAGATCTGGACACTACAGGACAAACAAATAACAAGTAGTAGTCAATCTTCAAGGACTTCCAGTGCTATCAAAAGAAGCAGAAAAATAGAGGAAAACAGACGGGTGGTGGTACAATATCATACTACCAGACTGAACGACCTTCTGTTAAGTAACACATTAAAGAAAGTACCTATAGCAGCTGGTGGGGATTGCTTCTTAAAAGCAGTTTTACATGGATTACAAGAAGGAAATTCTGATTTAATTGTCGAAAAGATTTAGTTGAACACCTTCAACATGAGAGAACACATTATAACAATTTTTTAAGTTTTGATGAACAATAATCAGAAGAAGAGAAGAAGAAACGTTATGATGACTATTTGCACGATCTCAGTCACAATGGCCACTGGAATTCTGATTTAGCAGATATGATGCCTTTAGCAATATCAAACATCTACAGACACCCAATACGTGTCTATTCAAGTATAGTTGCAAATTCTGTGTATGACATTTTACCAGATCTTGGAGAGAAATATTTATCAACCGACTTCATAAAAGAAGCACTTTTCTCAATAACTGGTCAGGAGCAGTATGATGCAGTTGAAACTATGGATACACCAAATTCGACAAATGAAAACTTAAACAAAACACCAACAAGAGAAAACATAAGTTCACCAGTTTCCAAGAGAGGAAGTGTTATCACTCCTAGAAAAAGAGCAAACTATAAAAGTCCGGTAAAGAAGCAACTTTTCCGAAAGATGAAAAGCAATCCACAAGCCTGGAAAAAAAATAAAAGAAAGCATAAGAGAGTACATGGATTACCTGACTTTGGTAGAACAGGGAAACAGTAGGATCAAAAGACCGTAAAGTATCGTGATTGTTCTAGATGCAAATTTCGTTGCTCCAATAAAATATCAAAAGAAGATGCGTATAAGAGATTTTCTACTTAATACCAAATGGGTTCATATGAAAAACAACGGGCATTGTCAACATGTAGACCAAGATAAGGCAAAAAAAAAAAACTACAACAAATAGTAAAAAGAACTCAAATTCCTATCATCTTACAGTTAATGAAAAAAGGGAAAGAATTTGCAAAACCTTCTTTCTAAGAGCTTTAGGCATCAGCCAAAAAACTGTATAGTATGGACTGAAAAAGAAACAACATGGAGTTTTTGTTGGTGTAGATAATCGTGGCAATACCCCATCTGTAAACAGAACTCCAGAGATTAACAGAAATTTTATTAGAGAACATATAAAGTCCTTCCCCACAGTTCCATCACATTACACCAGAAAAGATTCTCATAGGCAGTATCTCAGTGTAAATTTATCACTGAAAAAGATGTTCTACTTCTATGAAGAGCTCTGTAAGAAAAAAGGAAAGAAACCATATAAGATAAATATCTACAGGGAAATCTTTTGTACAGAATACAACTTAGCTTTCCATAGACCAAAGAAAGATCAACGTTCTATTTGCAAAGTATATTATGAGAGAAAAAAACAGCGAGGAGAACTGGATGACGATGACGAAGAACAATTTGTATGGATGAAGATGAGTATGAAACATGAAAATACTGTTCAAGACAAATGCCTGTAATAAAATATTAGCTATCTTTGATATTTGTTTACTTATGACATGTTAAATGACAAACATAAAAGGTAATATTAGCATATAGAACCTTTTTGCCTTACTTAGTTCGGTCATTTTGACTTAGGGCAAAAAGGTTCTATGTGCTTTGACCTACTTTTTTACCTTTTGTGTATGGGACTTTTCTTTTATATACAAATACAAAAAACTTCTATATCTTACTAACAATTGCGCCAATTATTAACTCACTTTGACGAAAACCTTAATTTTCAGAAGGTTTCAAAACTTGATTTTCTCAAAACAATGAAAAATGCAGATAGAACCTTTTTGCTCTGAACCCTCGATATATGCTATGTAAAAAAATCTGACTCAAACAAAAAGTTCTCTGAAACTGCATCGTCAAGATGTTCGATTATTTTATGACAAATATATTTAATTGCATGTAGGACTTGTTTTTCAGCAGACAATCGATGTTCCAGTGGGAACCAACTGTGCTCCACGTCTTGTTGACTTGTTGGTTTTTTCATACTGATTGATTGTTGTTTGCTTAACGTCCAGTGGAAAATATTCCATGCTTATTCACGAGAACTACTTTATGGATGATCTCCACTCACTAAATGATATAAAGTTTGGTAACAATATTCCATCAAACTTGAAATAAAGAATACCACAGATAGAGGTAGGTCTGCTTCATATATTGAGCTACATCTAGAAACTGACAATACGGGTCGGTTGATTATTTCAGCTTTTCTATTGTGGACTTTCCATTTGTATGTAGCAGTATTCCTTAAGTGTCTGTATATGGAGTAGATATCACACATTTGATATTATATTCCAGAGCTTACATTTCCAATCATGATTCCTTAAATGAGAGTTGCAGCTTACAAGAAATCTGTTGAAACCAAGATCTCCTGTTTGTAAAGTGAAGTCATCCCTTAGAAAGTTAAATGGAAGTCTATTGATTTGGTTGACCCTTCTGGATTAAACTAGTCAGAGATGACCATGAATATCTTTCAATAGTAGCCACCACAATCCTGTAATTAGGGATTTTACTTATGCATGGCCAAATTTTTACTTGCCATTAGCAACAAGAGGGATGCCACTAGTGGAACAGGGTTTCCTTACCTCACCTGATATCAACTCCAGTTTTTGGGTGGGGTTTGCGTTGTTGTATCTTTAGTTTTCTGTGCAAATTGTTTTGTAGTCTGTTGTTTGTCCTACCGTCACTTTTATTTCTTTACCATGATGTTGTCTAACTAATGAATTTGTCCCCTTGATATCCTCATACTTTTTTAATCAGGTTCTACATACTGCTGTATAGTACCAAAGTAAACCACTCCATGAGTACACCACTAGGAACTTCATAGTCAAATTGGTCTCATGATTCTGTAGCTCTAATTCAAATATTTTTGATTTTTTTTTGTGAAGGCTATATTTGTCATCTGGTCAGTAATCAATCTGTCACTTATCTGACAAGCATGATATTTTATTCAAATCATGTGGAATATTGTTGATATGAAGCAGCAAGTAATGGCAAAGCATCATACCATTATTAGCCATTAGCTAAAATGATGCCACAATATGAATGAACACACTAAGCAAGAAATGTGCTAACCCCCTATTCAGAACATGTAAGAGATATCAGTTTAAAACTAGCTTTGTACTGAACAAACATGATAAATTAAAATACGTATTGCTTTTCATTTATGAAAACTTATGGTCCTACATCCTGTAGTATTATGTACTTATATTTTGGCATTGCTTTTATTAGAGTGTTTATGATGTCTTTATACTAAATCTGTTTGTTGTGTACTGATTTATACTTTAGCCTGGAATAACATGATTTATTTATAACTCTTAGATCAGTACTTTGTATCTTTTGTCTTTATGTTTTTTGTGCTTCAGGAGCCTGTGGTTTGGTGATTTTTGTTGGTTGCAGTCTCTTATATCTGTTTTTTGTTTATTGATTTGTCTTAAATCAGGCTGTTGGTTTTTCATTTCACATTTTGTCATGTCCAGACCTTTTATTGCTGACTATGCAGTATTGGTTTTGCTCATTGTTGAAGACCTTAGGGTAACTATAATAGCTTTAATCCACATTACTTGGACTCTTTTGGATAGTTGTCTCATTGGCAATCATATGACATATCCTGAGTTGAAATTTTATACAAGACTTCAAACCTGACAAGTCATTGCTCTTATCTCTAAGAACTGCCAAAAACCAAGTAGAGAAGCAGTAATCCAATACCAACCTGAAGTATTTGTCTTTATCTGTGTCACAGATGACTATGAATATGTCTGTGTGATGTAAGCCAAGTAACTCTTTAATTAGAAGCAATATTTTACAACATTTTTACTAGTTTTTGCCAAACATGTTTATTGATGAGTGGTATTTTTCAGGGACCTGAGAAAAGATCCGGAACTTGAAAATAGAAAACAGATAAGTAAGGATGTCACATCTGTACTACTATTTATATAACTAGTAAAACATGTTGAAAGAAGGAATTAAGAAGTTTTTTTATAAATAAATTTATTCATCACAAACATCATTGCTCCCATAATTCAACATTTTATTAATTGTTTTTATATCAATAAAAAATTTCTGACATGATTACATTTAAAGTCTATGAACAGACATAACATTTCACAATAATTTAAAACAACATCGAAAACAAAAAATACAGTCATTTTAAATGATCTGATGTTAAATGCATTATTTCCATCATTTGTGTAAGGAACCATTGTAAACTGTCAGATGTAAGATTGTGTATTAGGTTCTAGTAAAGCCAGTTCTACTTTTTTAAGAAGCTTTCCAAATATTTATGTTCAACTGCATTTTAAATCTCATTGGAAGTCCTTTAACTGATTATAAATGGATGTAGATAGTTGTACTAGTAGTTGATTATCCCAATGGTAAGATTTAATTGTATTGTCCATAATAGTCTATTTGCCAATTCCGTAATTCATCTTGTAATAAGAGATCAATTTGTAAGAGTTGTTTCCCTTAGGAGGGATAAAACTTTTTATTGACAATGAAGAGCTAAAAGAAAGAGGAACTGTATCTGTGTGTAGGTATCTAATCTTTAAGTTTATCAAATGTTTTAATTACATTTAATATTTTGAAAAGCTAATAACTTTTGATATCAATATTTTTTTTAATTATCAATTGTTTAAAACGCCTGTATATCACTTTCAACTTATCTAGGGGCGGATCCAGGATTTTAGGTTGGGGTTGGTTGGGGGGGGGGGGGGGGGGGGGGGGGGCAAACTTAAATTTTTGCCAATCGGACCAAGGCAAAAACTTTTTGGAGGTAAAATTATCGAAATATTCTTTATTGAGCTGAGGACAACCCATGGTTTGCAAATTTTAGGGGGCACCCGCCTGAATCTGCTCGTTATCTTGCTTTGCATGGGCAGCACATTGTTTGTTCTTGTTTAGAACCATTCTGCAATTGGCAAAACGAAACAAGTTTTATGAAAAGTGTGTAATAATGGAATCAAATTGGTAATTGACTAATAGACTATTGATTACCAGGTATTGATTTCAGCTCAATTTTCTGTAGATCAAATATGATTAATTGATTGTTGTTTTTTCTTATTATCCAGTTTCAACTATTTCATGCATATTCAGGATGGTGTGGCTGGATTAATCATCTGCTGATTCATCGCTGACAAATATAAAATTGTATCAGTGTTACCATAAGATTGGTTACTGATGGTGTGGATGGATAGATCATCTGCTAATTTATCGCTGACAAATAGAAAATTGTATCAGTGTTACCATGAGATAGATTACTTTGTCTGCAATCCACTTATAATGCTCTTGAAAGAAATTGTTAACTTCTAATCACAATTTGAAACCCTGGGTATGGTTCCATTTTCTTTCTTCATAATCTCAAAAAAGAAGTAAAATTATATCTGTATGAGTAAAAAAAATGAATGAAGATGAAAAGAAATTATAATGATGCCTCCTTAACAAAGACAAGCGTGCACATGCTGAAAAGTCTTGCTTGCTTTACTGATTATAACTGAACTCAAGGTTTTACTACTGGTATCACATAAATTTTACATTACTATTGTTATAACATAAATTTTACAATATCAATGATCCATAAAAATAAGGTCAAGGTCATATGAACCCTGCCAGACAGACATGTACACCTAACAATTATTCCATACACCAAATACATTTGACTTATTGCTTAAAGTATCTGAAAAACAGACCTTATCAAAAAAACCAAACATAGACCAATTCAACATGAAAATGAGGTCAAGGTCAGATGAACCCTGCCAGTCAGACATGTACAACTTACAGTCATTCCATCCACCAAATAAAGTTGACATATTGTTTAAAGGATCTAAGAAATAGACCTTAACATAATAAATCTGTATCAAAAGTTTATTTTGCAGTTAACTTGACTTTGTTGATCTATTGATTAATGTTTGCCAAAGGTAAGAGGTATGAAGTTTTAAGGCAACAGATAAAAGTGAGAAGATTTTAAGACCTGTAGTTATTAACCTTATCAGCATCAAAAGAAAAGTGATAAATCTCATCTTCTACAATATTTGTCATAAAGAAGACAAAAAAAAATATAAATAGCACTCAAGTTATAAAACTTACATAAATATGAACTTTTACATCAAATCATATTCATAATAAATTAGCGACAAACTTAACTTAAGGAGTTTTCATTATCAATTAACAATTTTTCTTACTATCAATCTGTGCTACCAAAATCAACAAAATGATAATTGTGAATTGAGGTAAAATGGCTTATGAAAGATGAAAACATCTTATGTTAAGGAGATCAATGCGACATGATCAGTTAAAATATGACTTATTACAAAACAATATGAACACTTAACAAAATATGAGAATTTTTCAGGAATCTCCATTCACAGGAAGTTCATTTACCTTCCCATCTTCACAAGTGTCACTAATCACATGATTATTTTGTGAACTTTCATTGGCTGGATTTTTTACTATAGAATTTTGAGATTGTCCATTGTTATTGTTGAATGTTGGAATATTAGATGGTTCCTCCTCATCTTCTCCTGGTACTTGAAGCCCTTTTAATTCTTTGGCAAAATCTGCCATTCCATATTGCTGTGCAATTCTTAGTCCTTCATCGAACAGTGTGTCATTCAATATCTTTGTCTTTGCAGTTGGATCAAACTGTGCACGTAAATGTGCAGCAAAATCATCTCCATCAGCAGAGTTGGATGGGGAAGATCCGCCACTTTGTAAATCTGAGCCTAAAAATATTACAATAATATATTTTATCATATTTTCATAAAGTATTCATACAAATAATGAAACTAAAAATGCTAACATGTTTATCATTTTGAAGCCAACCCAAATCCACAGTGTTTCATTACCCCAAAAAACTCTTGATCATTTTAAATGTTTTGACTGCATTTTAGCATATTCATGAGAAAACCGTGTGTTGTACAATTGTTCTTTAATTTGTGCTTTTGGGTTGCTGTCTCATTGACGTTAATGGCAACTTTTTTTTACTCATATATATGATCTTTTTTTTTTTTTTTACATTTCTGTGATGAACGAGATTCTCTTTGACTACCTGTTTTGTGCTATCATTAATGTTCAGTTCATCAAACTAAATCTCCCATTCAGATTTCAAAATTTCAACACGTTTTAAGAAAATATTAGAACCTATTTGATTGATTCAACCGATTATCCAGACATTAAGCAAAATTCTAGCAACATCTTATGAGTTTTATTATTAAAATGAAGAATGGTAAAAGTGACGCTACCCAAATTTGAACTTGATCTGATTTTTGTGGTAATAAGCATTGTGTGTAAGTCTCATAACATTTGGTTGAGGCTAACTTAAGTAGAGAACAGAAACTAAAAATTCAGCAATTTTTCTATTTGTAAACACGCATAACTCTAGAACAGTTGTGTATAAGTTTTATAATATTTGGTTGAGACAAACTAAAGTTAGAGAACGGAAACAAAAAATTCAGCAATTTTTATGTTTATAAAGGGACATAACTCAAGAATGGTAAAAGTGTGGCCACCAAATTTTGTACTTAATCTGTATTATGTAGTAATAAGCATTGTGTATAAGTTTCATACAATTTGGTTGAGACAAACTAAAGTTAGAAAACGGAAACACAAAATTTGTACTTGATCTTAGTTTTGTGGTAATGAATATTGTGTATAGATTTCATAATGTTTGGTTGGGGCAAACTTATGTTACAGAATGGAAACTAAAAATTTTGCAATCTTTCGATTTATAAAGGGGCATAACTCAATAATGGTTAAAGTGACACTACCAAAATATAACTTGATCTGTGTTTTATCAGTGGAAGTCAAAATTAAACATTGCATTGTATAAAGCATTGATTGTAGTTGATTCAACTATAATCATGGACAAAGGAAGATAACTCCAATTTTAAAAATTACTTGATATTTTAAAAAAAAAATAAAATTTGCAATTTTTCCATTTATAAAGGGGCACAACTCTAGAACGGTTAAAGTAACACCACCAAAATTCAACCTTGATCTGTGTTTTGTGGTAATAAGCATTGTGTATAAGTTTCATTACATTTGGTTGATGCAAACTTAAGTTAGAGAATGGAAACTAAAAATTTTGCAATTTTCCCATTTATAATGAGGCATAACTCTAGAACGGTTACAGTGACGCCACCAAAATTCAAACTTGACCTGTGTTTTGTGGTAATAAGCATTGTGTATAAGTTTCATAACATTTGGTGGAGGCAAACTCAAGTTAGAGAACGGAAACTAATTTTGGAACGTACGGATGTACGTACAGACGGACAAGGGTAAAACTTAATGCCCCCACCGCTACGGCGGGGGCATAATTAAATGTGGAATAAACCATCATATAGTAATTGCAGTATTCTATTGCTATCAATACAAAACATATTTTGACTTACTTATGTCATCATCATCAAAAACAAGTCTGGGCATCCTGGAAAATCTGAAAAAAATGGGAAGAAAAACATGTATAAAATTGAGAATGGAAATGGGGAATATGTCAAAGAGACCACAACCCGACCAAAGAGTAGATAACAGCCAAAGGCCACCAATGGGTCTTCAACGCAGCGAGAAAATCACACTTAATAGTATTATCAAGAGGCATAAAAATCTTGGTTACACTAATTAATGTATAGGCATCAATGTACTACTACTGCTAATATTTTACCTGTAAAGATGTGTTACAATTCATAATGGGATACTCAAGTTATCTGACAAAATAATATGGCCCCAGTGAACATAAAAATGGGATAAATAGAAATCAAAATTGCTACCAACACTTTTCCCAGATTCCCAATATACATAAAATAGTCTTTAGGTGCATACAAATTATGCTGGGGTTCCCCTGACTCAGGCTTACTTGCCACCTGCCCAGTAAAAATATTTTTAAAAGTTAAGACATATTCAAGAAATTTCATCTTGGAACTAAAATTTTGAAGTATTTCATACCATGTACAGGTATCCTTGGCAATTATATATGTCCTTGACTTTTGAAAAAGTTACCTAAAACCAATGGGCTTCCTACCTTTTTCTACTTACAACTAATTTTATAATTCATCATAAAATCAAACAAGTGTAACACAATACACAATACATCACTCAGAAACAACAATTTGCAATAATTTTTTCTTTGTGTGTGTTTTTTTTTAGGAGCTGTGACCTTGACCTTTGAGATTTTCACATGAAAATTAATAGGATTCTTCGCCTTCTCTATATCTTCCAACTACCGGTATACAAGTTTCATTATTAAAAAAAAAACAAACCAAAGCTTCCAACTATACAAGTTTCAGTATTAAAAAAAACAAACTAAAGCCAAGTTTAAACAGAATTCCTAGGTTAAGCAACAGTGACCTTAATCTTAAAACTTTTGACCCAATTATCAATCAAGGGAAACTCAAGTTGCAATCTTAAAACATTATTTCCTCATATTTTAGTAACAGTGACCTTAAACTTTGACTCTAAAAATCAATAGGCTTATTTTCCTTATCCTACTATATCTTCCATCTGTTTAAGTTTCATTCCTATCAAACAAGGGTTACTCAAGTTATAATCCAGAAACCATTTGTTTCAGAGACACAATCCGACAGATAAACAATGAAATGATTATGTGCCTCATATTTTTTTTTTGGGAGCATTAAAAGGTAGTTACACAGTCATTACAATTTTTATCAATTCATTTCATGAAAATGATGGTCTCATAGCACCTTTTTGTTATTGAGAATATTGTAATATAAATGGAGAATGTGTCCATGGGACTCAGATGATGCCCCTGATTGCATTTAACATTATAAAGGGACATAACTCAAGAAAGGTAAATGTGAAACCACCCAAATACTACTTCAGTATAGTTTTATTACATTTGGTTGATGTAAACTTAAGTTAAAGAATGGAAACGAAAAATTCAGCAATTTTCCCATTTGTAAAGGGGAATACTTCTAGAAAGGTATATGTGACACCACCCAAATACGAACTTCAGTATAAGTTTTATTACATTTGGTTGATGTAAACTTAAGTTAAAGAACGGAAATGAAAAATTCAGCAATTTTTCCATTTGTAAAGGGGAATAACTCTAGAACCGTATAAGTGACAACACCCAAATTTAAGCTTGATCTGTGTTTTGTGGTAATAATCATTATGTATAAGTTTCATAACATTTGGTTGAGGCAAACTAAAGTTAGAGAATGGAAACCAATTTTGGGAAGTACACATGTATGGATGGACGTACAGACAGACAAGGGTAACACTTAATACCCCCTTGGCTGTGGTGGGAGCATAAAAAGTCCATTTACCCTTTCTTCTGATAAAGAAAACACAATGACAACAAACTAATAAACATTTTCCTCACATTGTGAGAGTAACAACAAACTAATAAACATTTTCCTCACATTGTGAGAGAAATATACCAAACATTTTATTAAAAGATAGGGTTTTAAGAAATTCACTTACTTATTTATTTTCTTCATTTCTGCCTGCTCAGACAGTAGTTTTTCAAGTTTTGTGACATTCTGATCATACTGATCCTGAAGAGTTTTAGCCGTCTCTATGTCACCTCTTTCCTGGGCTGCCTGTATCTGCTTCTTAAATTCATCCTGTGTCTGATTCAGTGACCCTATTTCTTTTATCACAGCTGACATTCTATCCTAATTTCAAACAAATATATCAAAACACTATTTTAATATCCTATCCTAATTCAATCAATTAAAATGCGGACAAGACAATGATATAAGTTACTGGATTTCCTAATGAATTTGAATTTCATATCTGTAAGACATTTTTTTCTTCAAATATTTGAAAGAGATTTAATTACATTCTATTTTAAAAATAGATATTGTTCAATAACATTTGAAACATCACTGAATTAAAAGATAAATTGTTAACATCAAACAGGAAATAAAATGCCAAGTACAAAATGTATTTACAACCAATGCTGGATAATGCATATATTTCATAGAGGCAATTTTTTTCTTCAATATGAACGAAATGTAAAACATAAATAAATGTTGAATTTGTGATGATTTTTTTATCTGAACAAAAAGTTTTATGATAATAAACTGTTGACACAGAGATATGTCTCACCTGTCGGCATAAAATTCAGAAAAAGACAATCTGATGGACAGCAACATTGCTAATTAATTTAAAAGTGCTGGACCAACTAGTGGGTAGGCCCTCGAAATGGTTGACAAACTGAGATGTACAAACAGCAACTTTATAGAAAATATTGTCCATTGTAAGTAGTTCCTATCATACTATTAAACTTAACCATAAAACTTAACATTGAAAATTGTTAATCGATTAAAAGTCACTGGACCATGACCTAGGGAGCAGGGCCTTAAAATAATAGTTAAACTCATATGTACTGATAGTAATGCAACTTTAAAGAAAATATCATTGATCTAACACAAGTAGTTCATATCAAACTAACTTAAGCAGAAAACTTATCATTGAAAATTGCTTATTAATTGAAAGTCACTGAACCATGGCCTAGGGGGCAGGGCATCAAATAGTTGTCAAACTGATATGTACTGATAGCAATGCAACTTCACACAAAATATCATTGATCTATCACTAGTAGTTCCTATCAAACTAACTTAAGCAGAAAACTTAACATTGAAAATGGCTAATTAAATCAAAGACACTGGACCCTGGCCTTGGGGGCAGCACCTCAAAATTGTCGTCAATCTGATATGTACTGATAGTAATGCATCTTCATACAAAATATCAATGATCTATCACAAGTACTTCCCATCAAACTAACTTAAGCAGAAAACTTAACAATTGTTGATGCAATCATCACCGTCGCCGGAAAAGCAATCCCTATGTCTCGCTTTCCTCGACTATTGTCGCAGGCGAGACAAAAATTATGCAAAAATATGATCTCAACTTAAAATTTACAGATACATGTTATTAACATATCAATCATTAGACCAACATACAGGCAAATAACCTCTTACCAAAACTTACATTCATCACTTGTGACCTTTCGAACTCGAATGGTACATACATTCCTGGATAAGTTTCCAACATTTTTAAGAAAGTTGGATCCAAGCGTGATCTCTTTGCTGAAGGTAAAATTGTTTCACCAGACCTGTTAATAATGGCAAATCTATTACAGAAAAAATAAAATAGGTTTACATATTTTAGCGAATAAATATTGTCCTACCCCTAAAAACATTTTTTTAATTTGGCCTACAAAAGACTTTTACCTGAATTATCTTTTTTTATACAGGTAAATAAATTTGTTTAACATTTGTTGCTGCTCAGCTTAGGGCTATTCCATTAAAATGTATGTGGGAGGGTAGGAAGGGAAGTCAATTATTGAATGTGGGTCATGGGTCTTTTTCAGTATGCATCTATTACCATTATGCAAACTTACCTAAAAAATGGTTCTTGGTTGTAGGGATGTTTTGAAAGTCCCTTCCTACACTCCCACATACATTTTAATGGAATAGCCCTTATTGAAACATAGTGTATTTAGGAAGTCCACTGAAAAGGATTGTACGGGAGATATTGAGAAAGGGTCGCTGTCAATGGTATCACATAATACATGTAATAGTATAAAGGGTTAATATGATAAATTCAGAGACTAAAAAAATTAAAATTTCTATTTTTATCTTCTTAATATCTTTTTCAAAGGTTAATTTTTAAATCATGATTTTTATTATCCATGGTATAAGAACCAGTAATCCTGATTTTATTATCCATGGTATAAGAACCAGTAATCATGATTTTTTTATCCATGGTATAAGATCCAGTAATCATGATTTTATTATCCATGGTATAAGAACCAGTAATCCTGATTTTTTTATCCATGGTATAAGATCCAGTAATCATGATTTTATTATCCATGGTATAAGAACCAGTAATCATGATTTTATTATCCATGGTATAAGATCCAGTAATCATGATTTTATTATCCATGGTATAAGAACCAGTAATCCTGATTTTATTATCCATGGTATAAGAACCAGTAATAAGATTCATGTTTTCTCTTTTCACTAAACTATGGATGTAGTATTACAGGATGGGTATTCCTCATGAAGTCAACTCGGGAGGAGGGAGGGGGAGGTTAACTTCCTACAGGAATAAAAGTGCTTTTCATTTGCATTGGGTTTCATAATGTAGATGGATTTTGTGTCAAGAATTAATACATTGTATATCTTCTTTTTCATATTAGCTAGAATTCATTCAGCAAGATGGGTACATTTTACTATGTTCAAACTTTTGAACTTATTTACCTAGAGTGTCCTTTAGAGTATTGGTATCCGCTATCTTTAACAACCTGTCTTGCCAAGGGGAATAAATCTTCTCTTCTTGTTAACAGGGTCGGCATATACAAACATAGTTGTGCTGCTGCCTCATTTACTGAAATCTGAAATAATTCATATAAAATCCCTTTATAAATATTGAAATAATTAATAGGACCAATCACTACACTACAATGTAGTTTTCTATTTTAATGGCAAAAACAAGTTATCAGTATTGTGAACCAGCTTATTAATTTATGTTTATTCCTTTCTATATGACTTTGCTGCAGGGATTGATTAATCCTCATTTGATCAAATTTTTGCTCTAGCTGTCCATAACTAATCAAATAAATGGGGAATGTGTCAATGGGACACAGATGATGCCCCCACTTGCATGTAATGTTATAAAGGTACATAACTCAAGAACAGTACAGGTGACACTACCCAAATTTGTTCTTGATCTGAGTTTGTAGTAATAAGCATTGTGTATAAGTTTCATAACATTTGGTTGAGGCAAACTTAAGTTTTCAGCATTTTTTTCATTTGTAAAGGGGCATAACTCTAGAAAGGTAAAAGTGACACCACCCAAATTCAAACTTGGTCTGTTTTTTGTGGTAATGAGCATTGTCATGTGTATACGTTTCATAACATTTGGTTGAGGCAAACTAAAGTTAGAGTACAGAAACCAATTTCTGGACATACGGACGGACAAGGGTAAAACTTAATGTCCCCCTCCGCTACATGGGGGGCATAACAAAAGAAAACAGATCATTCAAATGCAATGTGATATCTACTTCATTTCTGATTGTCCATTGATGGTCAGAGTCATTAGCTATTGCACAATTGCAGTCAACATTTCTGGGATAATTTTAAATGTTTTATTAATATTTACAAGTAATGCATTAGAATTGGAGTAACAGAACCATATTTGAAACAGTCCAAACATGAATTGACGTAGGCAATTCTTCAAATAAGTTACTGCTATTCCTTAATTCTGGAACAAAAATGACCATAGTGAAAAAGAAAATTATAATCCTATTATCTATATCAAGTCTATTCCATGTATATCTAACAGCTATCCAAGGAAGGTACAAATTTTTCATGTGGACCAAAAGTAGAATATCTTAATACTTCATGTAGGCTTCTAATTTTTGTTATAAATTTGAAAAGCAGAGGCATTAAGGCATGCAGGCGTCCTGTAGATGTAGTAATCAATAATACTTATTGAAAACTTTAAAAAATTAAATACTGCTATTCTTTTGCTCGATGAATAAATCTTGAGAATGAGGCAGAAAATATTCAGATAAGAAATTCAAATAAAATATTGTAATGTTTGAAAGACCAAAATGTATATTCAAATTCAGTAAACAATTTTTCAGATCTTACAGAAGTTTTAGTTCTTAATTTTATAATTTGAGGTGAAGATGATACATAATTTTTTTTTCTATTCTGAATAAGCAAATTAAGTGTATAAAACATGTGTTGTGTCCAAACAACAACCAACAGTCTGTCAAAAAACTACAGTGAAAGCAGATGTTACAGTAAAATCTATGAATAAAATGTGCTGTCAACAGATTGTAGATTTATTCTTTCTTGAATACCTAATGTTGCATTACTAATATGTACTTCATTTAAGATATTGAAATGTTTTCATTAACTTATAGTCTAGTGTTGAACTACAGTAAAATAGCCAAAGAAGCCTTTTAGAAAGAAATACATGTAGTATATTTGGCTGTTTGTGTTCCTGATTGTTTATTTGATTAAGTCACAAAAACAATTTCAATTATTTAAAATTAAGCTCTCAGGTCTAGGCAAATTAGCATTACAAAATAAAGTCAACAATATAAGTTTATAAACAGAACAGTTATATTAGTTATTTATATGTAAATGCACATTGAAATTCAGATTTAATAAAAAATTAAACATTTCAGTGGGAAGACACTTTTCTCTTCCTATCTGACCATTTGAAATGTATAATTTTTACAAGAATATATCAAAACTGATAATTAAATATAGATTTAGTATCTGAAGTAACTTGCAGCAATATCTAACCTGTTATTTTGACAATATATTGTGGAAAAACTAAGATAAAAAACCTTACAGAGAAGAGAATGTTCTAAATTACAGGTTGTGCAAGTCAATAGCATAAAAAATAGTTTTTAAAGCTGCTATACTCATGTCATAAAGGAGTTTATAAAATATTTCCATACACCAAATATAGTTGACCTATTGCATAGAGTATTAGAAAAACAAACCAAAACACAAAAACTTAACTATGACCACTGAACCAAAATCAATCCCAACCTCCCTTTTGTGGTATTGAACCTTATGGTAAAATTTCATAGAGATCCATTCACTTAAACTAAAGTTATTGTCCGGAAACCAAATGTGTCTTCGGACGACGACGCCAACGTCATACCAATATACGACAATTTTGCGGTCGTATAAAAAACACTGAGGAGGTTCACAACTTTAGACATGCACATGAACATAGGGATTGGTGTAATTGTGTTTTTACATGAACAATCTAAACAGAAATATCACACATAAAACCAACAAATATTACCTCATGCATTGACATAGGTTTTATATTTTTCCTCTTGGAATCAAATCTGCCATAAATTGCTGCATATTTTCTCATTTCATCCAACCTATTAGGAGAATCGTCTGGTTGTTGTTGCAGAGCCTGTATAAAGAAATTATAATTATGGAATATTATTTTACCTTATATATTGTACAGAAAATCTGGTTTGCATGAGTTGTCTTTGTAATGGTGTGTTTTAATCAAGCTCAATTTAAAACCCAGAAAATGCCATTATGGTCCAAAAAAGGTTCTTGCTCTGTGTATTCAGAAAAAATGTAAATTCAGTAATTTTGATTTGTGCTTGCAAGGGATATAACTGTTTCATCAATGCTCGAATTAGTGTAAGAAAGAATAAAGGCATACTCATATAAACTAGAAAACAAGAGTGCACATGCTGAAATGTCTCGCCTTCTTTACTGACCATTGATTTTATGTTGATAGTCCTAAATATAAAGCTTTACTACAACTACCACATAAACCTAACATGATCCAAGAAAATGAGGTCAAGGTCAGGTAAACCAAACTGGAAATACATGTACACCTTACAATCATTCCATACACCAAATATGCTTTAAATATAGTTGACCTATTGCACATAGTATCTAAGAAACAAACTTAACCAGGAAAACTTAACATTGATCAATGAACCATGAAAATGCGGTCAAGGTTGGATGAACCCTACCAGACAGACATGTACACCTTACAATCATTACATGCTTTAAATAAAGTTGACCTATTGCATATTGTATCTAAGAAACAAACTTAACCAGGAAAACTCCAGATTGATCAATGAACCATGAAAATGAGTACAAGGTCAGATGATAATTATCAGACAGACAAATACACCTTACAATCATTCTTTACACCAAATATAGTTGACATATTGCTTATAATATTAGAAAAACAGACCAAAACACAAAAACTTAACATTGAGCAATGAACCGTAAAAATGAGGTCATGGTCAAATAAAACATGCCAGACTGACAAGTACATCGTAAAATATTTCCATACACCAAATATAGTTGACCTATTACATACAGTATTAGAAAAACAGACTAAAACACAAAACCTTAACATTGAGCAATGAACCGTGAAAATGAGGTCAAGGTCGAATAAAACCTGCCAGACTGACATGTACATAAAAATATTATAAAATATTTCCATACACCAAATATAGTTGACCTATTGCATACAGTATTAGAAAAACAAACCAAAACACAAAAACTTAACTATGACCACTGAACCATGAAAATGGGGTCAAGGTCAGATGACACCTGCCAGTTGGACATGTACACCTTACAATAATTACATACACCGAATATAGTAGACCTATTGCTTATAGTATCTGAGATATGGACTTGACCATGAAAACTTAACCTTGTTCACTGATCCATGAAATGAGGTTGAGGTCAAAATAAAATTGTCTGACAGGCATGAGGACCTTGCAAGGTTCCCACATACCAAATATAGTTAACCTATTATATATAATTACTATTAATAAGAGAGAAATTAACATTACAAAAAATCTGAACTTTTTTTCAAGTAGTCACTGAACCATGAAAATGAGGTCAAGGACAATGGACATATGACAGATGGAAACTTCATATCATAAGGCATCTATATACAAAGTATGCAGCATCCAGGTCTTCTACCTTCTGAAATATTACGTTTTTAAGAAGTTAGTTAATGCTGTCGCCGCCGGATCACTATCCCTATGTCGAGCTTTCTGCGACAAAAGTCGCAGGCTCGACAACAACAAAAGTATACTCGTCTAAACTAGAAAAACTTAATATACTGGCTTTATAAGATCATTTTTGAAATGATTTTCATCAAGTAGAAAGTAAAATTTCAAAAATACCAAACGCCAATGAAAATTCAAAACGGAAAGTCCTTTATCAAATGGCAAAATCAAAAGCTCAAACGAATGAAAAACAACTGTCATATTCCTGACTTGGTACAGGCATTTCCTTATGTAGAAAAAATTGATATGGTGCTGAGACTTAGTGTACAATACATACCATTATGTCTTTGTTAATTTGTTTCTTCATGTTGAGAGGTTTGGCCTCAAAGTAAGGTATAGCCTTGGCAATATTTGTTGCAGCATCTGCTATAGCAGCGATCTGGCTCTCTACCAGTACTGGGGTAGGAAGAGGGGATTGGGAATGATCCTTCTCCTGCAAAATAAAATACGGTTCTTGTAATGCATTTGGACTCTCTAAAAGAATCTGGAATTATATCAAATGGCTCTTCTCATGAAAATGCAGAACTTACAACACTAAAAATTTGTAAGTGTTCCACAGAAACCTTGGTCTTGCCTGGGCTTGTGTTATGTTGACTGACTAAGGCCAAGCCCATTTATCAGTAAACTTTTTTCTTCAGATGTTATTTCTTGATAATGAACAGGCTTCAGTACAAGTTTTGTAGCATTCCATGATGATTTGACTAAAATACTGATGTTCTAAAAAAACTTTTCCCCAAGACTATCTAAATGTTAACAGCAAACAAGAGGCTCTCAAGAGCCTGAATCGCTCACCTGTATTTCAGAGGAGAAGATTTTTAAATGTTAGCAAACTTGATGAACAAATTGTGTAAAATTGTCTTTAAAGGGCAATAACTCCTTAAGGGGTCAACTGACAATTTTGGTCATAGTAACTTTTTTGTAGATCTTACTTTGCTGAACACTATTGCTGCTTACAGTTTATATATATCTATAATTTAATTCAAAAAAATAACAAAAAACTGCAAAATTTTGTTAAAACTACCAATTCGGTGGCAGCAACCCAACAATGGGTTATTCGATTCGTCTGAAAATTTCAGAGCCGATAGATCTTGACCAATTAAACAACTTAGCCCCGTGTCAGATTTGCTCTAAAAGCTTTAGTTTTTGAGATATAAGCCAAAAACTGCATTTGACCCCTATGTTCTATTTTTAGCCATGGCGGCCATGTTTGTCAATGGATCAAAACTTCGGATAAAATTTATAAACTAGATACCCTAAGGAACATTTAGTTAAAGTTTGAAGGTATTTGGCCCTGTAGTTTCAGAGGAGAAGATTTTTGAAATAGTTTACGACAACAGACGACGACGACAGACACAAAGTGATGGCATAAGCTCATATGGGGCCCTTTGGGCCCCGGTGAGCTAAAAACTAAGTTTGTTTATCAGAACTTATTTCATGCATTATTAGCACAATTGAAAAATGTATCTCATCAACAATGCTGGAGCCAACTGTTGGAAATCTGTAAGCTTTAACTAATAAATAACAAATTAAGAATAAAATTTGATAAAACTGCATTTTTATATTTAGAAATATGGATTCTTTAATTCTTTTACAAATATAAAACAATCAAACCTTACCTTACAAAATTACAGGTATGAAAGGATCGGTTGAAACAATGAATTACTAGACATAATTGTTATCAAGTTACTTTGAAGAAGTTTCAATAGGCAAAAAAGACTGTATCATTACAAACAAGATATTTATCTCATAGATAGTCTTCTGTTATTACAGACCCTTAACTTGATGACTTTGGTTTTTTGAGTTAATGTCCAGATAACTTATAAAAGGAATATTTGAGATGTTATATTATTTATCAATTTTTCAGATGAATTTTTAATTTTTTGATAATTAGTCATCAAGATATAAAAATGTAAGTCTAAGTTTAGTTTCTGAGATATAATTTTTATCTGTTTTCAAATTCGTTAAAGAATCTTTTGTTAAGGAGGTATTTTTTGTCTTATCAGATTTCATTACTACAGATAAGCATTTTCCAGAATATAACTGAAGCAAATAATTCTGGAAAACACATTTTTTATGGCAAAATTCTATAATTTATTCACTATATCTGAAGATATTGTACCTGGCATAAACAATAATAATGAGATCATCTAACAACTTTATTGGTTTAAAACAAAATCCAAAACATATTACCAATTCAAATTACTATTGAAATTTTACAAGCTAGAATGTTTATATACTTCAAATCCTTCCCATGCATTTTTGCTGCAAATTCAATAAAATTTCTCTTTTTTTTGTATTTTTGAAAACAGTTGAAATATACAAGTTTAGCAGCTTCTGAAGTTCTTTCAGTAATTGAATATCATAACTTGTGTACAACAAACACTACAGTCAGAGGTCAAAAGAGTTTTACCACTCAAAAATTCTGCTATATATTTTGTGTAAAATCACTTTTTTTTTATTGTCCATTACATACAGAATTATCTGCAGTTTCTCCAATTATTCTTAAATACTTTGAAGAAACCATTGTTAAAAGACATATATTAATTCTGCAATGAAATTAATAAGTATAAAATAATTGTGCTATTTAATAGGTCTAGACATTATACTACACACTTACTTCTATTTATACATGTACAAATTATGTACTATAAACCTGAACCAATTTTTGCCAGCATATAAAGATTTCACAACCTCCAAAAAATCTAGAGCTATATTTAGACTCTGTACTTTCCTCTTTTACATTTGATGGTCCTTTGTTTAATTGATTCCATTCTAAATCTGGTCTTTGAATGACTAAAAGCTGATTTTTTTTTCAAAATTTTCTCACTTTTATTGGAAATCTTTGAAATCAAAGAAGAATTGTTTTCTTTGTTCAAATAAGTGCATACAGCTCTGAAATGATGTATTATAACTAGATAGATTAGCTATTAATACAATTTTTTGAATTTACTGAGGTTTTTTTTAAATGTTTTGAAGATTTATAATATTTATGATCTGTTAACCAAAACACATGCATGTGGCAAATTACCATCTTGACAAAAAGCTGCTTGTAATAAAAGGAAGATTTTTTTTTCATCCAACAAAACCCTGTTAGGAGGCAACAGAGTATTGATCATTTTTAACAATCAAAAGTGTTTCATCTAAACAAGTTTTACAATTAAAATTTAATCTTATAATAGAATTAAAAGAGGAATGTGTCTGAGGACATGAATGCCCCCGCTCAAGCTTTGCCATTTTTCATGTTAAAGAGGGGCAAAACTCTAGAACCGTTCATGACTTACTGCAAAAATTAAAACTCTGTCTGTGTGTTGTGAATCTTAGCATTGTGTATTAGTTTTATAAAATTTGGATGAGGCAATCTTAAGTTCAGAGTGCAGAAACTAAAAATTTTGCAATTTTCCAAGCTAAAAAATGGACATGACACAGAACAGTAATTGACTCACTGCCCAAATTCAAACTCTGTTTGCGAGTTTTGGTTCTTAGCATTGTGTATGAGTTTCATAAAATTTGGATGAAGAAAACTTAAGTTATAGTGCAGAAACGAAAATGGGACCGACGGAAAGAAGGACTGTCAAGGGTACCATTTTATGCCCCCTTTGCCTATGGCGGGGGCATAAAAACACCTCTATCTATACTGTTTTTTTTCTTGACTTCTCACTTGATAAAGTCCTATACAAGTCAACTTTAAATGCCTTCAATATCAATGAATTAATCCTTTCCTCCATTGATAAATGTTTTACATACAAATACTTATTTCGCATAACATTTAACATACAAATACTTATTTCGCATAAGATATTTCAAAAAAATGTGGAAAATTTTAATGTAATAAAAACTTTTAAAAAATGACGACATAGATAAACAAATAAATGGAGAATGTGTCCGATGATGCCCCCCGTTTGCATATAATGTTATAAAGGGGCACAACCCAAGAATGGTAAAAGATACGCCACCCAAATTCGAACTTGATCTGAGTTTTGTGGTAAGAAGCATTGTGTATAAGTTTCATAAGATTTAGTTGAGGCAAACTAAAGTTAGAGAATGGAAATCAATTTTGGGATGTACTTACAGAAGTACGGACACGGGTAACACTTAATGCCCCCTCCACTGCGGCAGAGGCATAAAAATATCACATTTAAAACAATAATTCATAGATAAAACAAGAATGTGTCCATAGTACACGGATGCCCCACTCGCACTATCATTTTCTATGTTCAGTGGACCGTAAAATTGGGGTCAAAACTCTAATATGGCATTAAAATTAGAAAGATCATATCATAGGGAACATGTGCACTAAGTTTCAAGTTGATTGGACTTCAACTTCATCAAAAACTACCTTGACCAAAAACTTTAATTAGAAGCGGGACAGACGGATGGACGGACAAATGGACGCACAGATGGAAAAACATAAAGCCCCTAGGTGGGGCATAAAAATCATTTCATAAAGGAAATTCATGTTAGATCTTCCCAAGAATTTTTTTTTTATATTAGATACAAATTTGATTAAGTCTGAAACAGGTTTTGAAAGGTAAAACATTTCAATTGAGGTACCATGCACAAAGAGGTATCATTATGGAGGAAAAGGGGACACTTAAAAGGTGTCATTATGGAGGAAAGGGTTATATAAATTTGAAAGAAAATGAATAAAAGCTTAGACACTTTACATTATGACATAGCTGATCAACAGTTCAAAATCCATATTCATTTTAGGATATGAGTATTTATTAATTTTTTTATGTTGAATTAAATAACTGTAACTAATATCTTGGTTTAAAAAAAGGGATTAATATCTTCCAGTTAAATTCTTTTTTCATCTTTTTTTCTTCAATATCAATTTGAGTCAATTTTTGAAAGACATATACACTGAGCTACTTGGAAACTGACTCACTTCTTTGATTTCTGACTGGTTACCCCCTGTCATATTTGCTGGTCCTGGACTGGTACTGGGTTGTATGAGTGGACTAGGGCTCCACGACCTAGCATTCATTACTGGTGATGTAGAAGAATGCATCTGATATAGATTAGCCTGGTCTCTGTTAGGTTGGCCACCATTATGATTCATTTTAGGTACAGTTTGACCAAGCTGAGAAGACTGGTTTCCTGTTGCTCCTGGGGAAGTTCCCATCATTGGCATTTGTAACTGGCCCTGGAAAGCAGCTGAAAAATGGATACAAGTTCAATGTATTTATCTTTGTTAGGGAACGACCATTTAACTTCAAGGGGGGAGGGGTTATGGTTTTTTCCTAAAAATATATTCTGATCCCCAATTTGAAAAAAATAATTTGATTGATCGAAAAACTAAAAAAAAAATTTCTGACTCAGACAAAAAACTACAGCCCCCCCCCTTTGAAGTTAAATGGTTGCTCCCTTATACTAATTTTTAATTTTAATTACAAGTGAAAAGATCAGAGAATATAGAAAATTTACACTTAGTTGACCAATTACCAAAATAGGTATCCCATGAATAATAATGAATCCACAGTGAACATTTTCTTTACCATAACAGACAAAAGCTGTATTAGATATATGTGGTTATCTTATCTTTGAATCCTTTGTTACATCCTGGACAAAAAAAAAAATCTATCTTTTCATAACAAGCTTAGCTTTCAGTCTATTTACAAATTTGAAACATACTAAGAAATATTCAATAATTTTCAAGGGTACTAATTTATGTGGATAAAGGAAAAATTGTATTTTCATGGATACTTTGTTTTGTGGTTTAAACAAATTCATTATTAATGTAAAGACTTTAGAAAATTTGTATTCTGTTGACCACTTTTAAAACTTTATGCTTAACCTATACCCTAGGAATACATAATAAACTGTTGACACAGAGATATGCCTCACCTGTTGGCATAAAATTCAGAAAAAATTCGTAAGGGTTCCGCGGAACCCAGTGTCTCGCCTACTTTTTCTGTTAATCGCAGGCTCAACAAAAATGAGGAAGTAAATCAATAAAAATATTCCTCTTGATACTATCTTTTGATTGTAAGAAGCTTCTGTCCAAGTTTGGTAAAAATCCAGGATAACTTATGAATCTAATAAATGTTTAAAAACTTTAACTGCAGACTGAATGTAATGTTAATTGAAAGAAAACAAAAATTTCCTTCTAGATACTAGCATTTGATCATAAACAAGCTTCTGTCAAAGTTTGGTACAAATCCAAAATAGTATAAGAAAGTTATTAAAAGTTTTAAAAACTTTAACCACAGAGTGAATGTGTTGTTTCCTGGCAGAAAATCTAAGTCCATTTAAAAGTAAAATACGGAAAAAATGGATTTATTTTTTTACAAAATTTCCTTCTAGATACTAGCTTTTGATCATAAACAAGCTTCTGTTCAAGTTTGGTACAAATCCAAAATAGTATAAGAAAGTTATTAAAATTTTAAAAACTTTAACCACAGAGTGAATGTGTTGTTTCCTGGCAGAAAATCTAAGTCCATTTAAAAGTAAAATAAGGAAAAAATGGATTTTTTTTTTTACAAAATTTACTTCTGGATACTATCTTATGATCATAAACAAGCTTCTGTCCAAGTTTGGTAGAAACCCAGGATAGTTTAAGAAAGTTATTAAAATTTTAAAAACTTTAACCACAGAGTGAATGTAATATTTCCCGGCAGAAAAACTAAGTCCATTTATAAGTAAAATACGGAAAAAATGGAATTTTATTTTTACAAAATTTCCTTCTAGATACTATCTTATGATCATAAACAAGCTTCTGTCCAAGTTTGGTAGAAATCCAGGATAGTTTAAGAAAGTTATTAAAATTTCAAAAACTTTAACCACAGAGTGAATATTTGTGGACGCCGCCGACGACGACGACGACGACGACGCCGACGCCGACGGAATGTAGGATCGCTATGTCTCGCTTTTTCGACTAAAGTCGAAGGCTCGACAAAAAGACAATCTGATGGACAGCAACATTGCTAATTAATTCAAAGTCGCTGGACCATGAATTAGTGGGCAGGAAGTCAAAATAGTCGTCAAACTTATATGTACTGTTAGTAATGCAACTTTATAGAAAATATCATTGATCTATCACAAGAAGTTCCTATCAAACTGACTTAAGCAGAAAACTTAACATTGAAAATTGCTAATTAATACAAAGTCGCTGAACCATGTCTGATGGGGCAGGGCCTCAAAATAGTCGTCAAACTGATATAAACTGACAATAATGCAACTTTACATTAAATATCAATCATCTATGACAAGTAGTTCCTATCAAACTAACTTAAGCAGAAAACTTAACAATTGTTGACACCAACTAAAACAGCGTCGCCTCCAGAAAAGCAATCCCTTTGCCTCGCTTTCCTCAACTTTCATCGCAGGCGAAAACAAAAATTAGTTATCAGCAAATGAAGCAACAGCATTTAATAAGAAACAACTGGTTGATCTCTATATAATAGTTTAAAATATGAACTTTGAACTTACCAGGGTTAGCGACCCATTCCTGTAGAGCTTTCTGTAATCTACGGACATGTAATGGTTTACTTGCCATCCCTACCAAGGCCATAATCTCCAGAAACTCTTCCTCCCCTGCCTCACATAACTGTTGTACATCATCTCCTCCTGTCAAATGTATAGTCATAAAATCTTATAATGTGAAAAAAATATAAAATATTGGAACTAGAAATTCAAATCAAATTGCGATGGCGATAGGTTTCGAAAAAAAAAACCTCACATTTTGAATTTAGGTAGCAGTTTTTGTATGCAGCATTACCTGATAATGTAATAGCTAACCTCACATTTTTGTCCATTGGTCATAATATTGGCAATATTGAATACTCACAATCATTTCAGAATTTACAGTACATTTATGTGTCATACCATGTTACATAATCAAATGATTTTTTTATCTATTTTACAAGTCTACAATGTATCTGATCAGAATATGGTCTTCAATCTGATGTCCCATGTTGGGAGAGTGCCACTCTTCATTAAAAAAAGGTTTGCATAGGTAACTTACTGAAAGGTAAAATTTCTCCCCTTACCTGCACATCTTTTTTTTCAAGTTTCAAACCCTTAATTCTGAAACCAATTCTAGTAAACTTATATCTTTGATTCATTTTCTGATCTAATTTTATCCTACACAGAATAAACTTTTTGCTACTGGAAATCAAACATATTTCTTTTCTATACTAATTAATAAGTGACCTTGAGATTGTGTATATGGTCTCAATTTCTTTATCAAGATATAATTAACATAATTTTGAAAGAATTTGCATGAGTTGTTTAGTAAAATACACCCAAACTTGTTCTTAGACACTGATTCTTGATGACATTTTTTTTTGCTTAAAATGAAAATCCAACTATCCTTGAACAGGAAGTGACTCTGAAAAACGCTTACAGGGTAAAACACAAAAAGGTCCAGACCAAATTTAATCGAACAAATTTCATATCCTTCCTCAATAAAGTAGCTGAGTAATAAGAAACAAATCTTACTGACTGCTGGACAAGGTCACTACAAGTATACAATACCACCCTGTGAGTAGGAGTATACAAATGGTGCTTATCATATCTCCTCCTGAATAAAAGGAAATATATTTTTCCTCCTTTTACCATGTAAAATTAAAGTACCTTGACTGATAAAGGTATCATAATACTGTAACAGATTAGCTCTCTGTAAAACTCTATGTAACTGCCATTCCGATGTATTCTTAGGTTGGCTTGTCGACATCTCACCTTCGTAAAATGGGGGTTCTGGAAAAATAAAAAAAAAAGGTAAATGAAGGTCACAACCCCAATATAAAAATAAGTAGATTTAGTGTGATTGCCATTAAGAATACTATCTCCACCAGAGTCAAAATGAAAAAAGACACAAACTTCAATTTTAAGAGAACTCAGTTACTGAAAGGAAATTTCCACATATATGTTACAGATGATGGCTGGTTATTTTTAGAATATTACATTTACAGGGAAAAAACTTTGCCTTAAACGTGACTATGAGATTGATTTTGATGAACAGAAATTTCTAATTGAATTAAAGTACTCTTTACTGAAGTGAAGTGTTTACAAACAGTTTTTTTTATAATAAAATTTGATATCTCCTTGCTGACCAATAAATGTATTTGAACTATAACACTCACTACTTGTCATAATAATTCTAATTTCAATACAGATTTGAATTCAAGAAACATTTGTTGGTAGTTTTTTTTTTTATTCTCCATAATCTTTAAACATCTCCATAAATGACAGGAGATGTGGGTAAACATCAATGATACAACAGCCTATCAACACACATATGAATAAAAGGACATGTGGAGTATATGTAACATTGATTATAAGACAGTTACACAACATTACAAACAACAGAAAAGACATAAGGCCTTCAACAATAGACATAAGGCCTTCAACAATAGACATAAGGTCTTCAACAATAGACATAAGGCCTTCAACAAAAGACATAAGGCCTTCAACAATAGACATAAGGCCTTCAACAATAGACATAAGGCCTTCAACAATAGACATAAGGCCTTCAACAAAAGACATAAGGCCTTCAACAATAGACATAAGGCCTTCAACAATAGACAAGTGTTTATATAAAATGTAAAGCTCTAAACTAATTTAACAGGCCAAAAGTCAGCTGTTTAAACAAAGTTCCAAAGAGATATACACATAACTAAAGACAACCAGTAAACAATGTTCCTGACATTTTCAAGGTTCAACTAGATTTTTTAGTAAGTTCTTACCCTTCCCTCAACAAATAAATCAAACATATGGGAAAAATGAGTTGTGGGGTATATATGTAAAAGAGATAACAACTAAGCGACACACAAAACAAAAAGGTATCTAAAGGTCAATAATTATAAGACATTAAAAAGCTTATGTGTTTTGTGTTGATTTTTTTAAGTTGTTGTTTTCATTGTTCGTAGCTCATACCATGTGATGTGGATACAAAATTCAATGTTCATTAAATTCAGGATTTTTTATACACAAATACAACTGAGTCCCACAAACACTGACAAATTGGTAGCAAAGTTCCCATTTTAGTATTCCCTCTAGTAACTAGATTTTGTACTGAAACAGCCATTTTGGTCTGATTCCATCTCAAAAGACTAAACTATAATTCATTAAGTTATGTTCAGTTTCAAAAATGTTAGGTTTAAATCAATACAATTAGTCTAATGCCCTTTGTGCAAGTCGTATGTTTTTGAACCCTTAATTGCATTATGGCGGTAAACCATTGCAAGGCACAATGTCTGCCTCAAATCCAACCTACAAATGTAAACTCTTTTTCTAGTGGCAGTCCATATTTCTTGTCCTTCATCCCATTGGGCCAACCTTTCACAACGAACCTTATTGTTTTAATCGCTTGATCCATTAGTCTGACTGCATGATCAATAAATATTCAAAATTGTCAAATTATGTAGTATTTATTTCCCTTGTCCCTTTTCAGTTGGACAAGTTACAATGTATCATCAATTGGTCATGAAGAATTCGACTTCATAATAAAAGATCATAAAATGTCTACATCACTTCACTTCATAACATGTAAATTTTCATGTTGATTAAAACTTCATGACATTTCTTTATATATTTTTAAAACTTTATGTCACCTTAACTTTGACATTACTTTTTCTCTTGTCTTAAATCTGGAAAACATGCAATCAATTTTCAACTACATCATAATTTGAATATGCAAATAACTTTTTTGAATGTATTTTCTTTTTATTTGTTTAAATACTATGTTATGTTTCTAGCAAGTAAAAACAACTGATTAGAAATATTATTGCATGCTTTCGTGACACACTAGAAGATTAATCATTGTTTTATGTGGAATTATTTCAAAATATCGTTTTTTACGAGCCTTAAATTTAAACTTTTTTAGAATTTAATACCATATTGCATGTTATATTATATTCATACACTGAAAATAAAAGATTTATTTTCACTACATTGAAGAGTTTGGAAAATTACAAATGGTTAGATAAGTCCTTGAAAAAATATGCCCATCAGAACATATTATTTTTATTGTATAATATCAAAATTGTGTTACACCTTTGGAAAATTTCCAAAATTATGGTGGTCTTCACAGGCAGGACCAATAAATTTCCCAAACTCTGATTACATTTTGCTTTTAGGTATACAGCTAGCAGACATAACTACTTCCTTTCCATATTTTTTCAGTTCTTATATATAAATCATACTAAGTCAAAACTGTCCATTGCCTATGTTTTTCTATTGAAACAGGGTGTACCTTTGGTACATTTATGTTTGTGTTGCAAGATCCTGCTCCACAGTGGACACCAATCATACTGTTTTGAATACAGAAAGATCAGCTCATTTCTCAGAGGAGACTTCATCATGTGTTAAGGATGTTCACTCCTTTGTTTAAAAATAATAAGCCTTTTAAAGGACTGTTATAATTTGATAGTATATATATATAATGGAACTTAAAAAGCAGAAAAAAATGAAAGGTCTGTGTTCTTGTTTTTGAGATATAAGCATTTGAAAATTTGGCGTGAAATGATGCTCTTAGATTTTTCATATGTTAAACATTGGCACCTTTTTTCTTTCAAAAACTATGAAAAATAACAACGATTTTATACAATTTCAAAAATGGCTTTTTAAAACTATATGTAATAAAATTATGAAAAGAAAATCAGAGATTATCGGGAACATTTTTTATTGGGCATACATTGATAAAACCACAGGGGAATACCTGACAAAAAGTAAAAAACAAGAGTAGTGAACACCCTTAAATATAATGAATCAGTATTCCATTGATTGCATTGACAATGAAAAGAGATACAATGAATCCCCTCATCTTCTTGGAATCCATTTTATCATGCATCCAGAAGTCAGGAATAGGAAAGGTTTTTTAGCCTGATACATGCAAGTATTGTAATCATGAAAAAATCAATTTAAAAGTTTCTTATTGTCCTTTTCAAATCAATTACCATGAAAATATACAAAGCAAGGTACCCTTTACATGTAACCATATCCTACATGTCCAGAGAGATCAAAGTTGCCACTATGCATGAAGTTCTTCAGTTTGGCTACTCAGCTGGATTCAATATTATTAGTTGGATATCAATTTTCATGGATATCTAAGGTATAGGTGAATCACAAATAAAAATGTTCAATGAAGTAAAAATTTCATATAGGCCTAATTGTATGCAGACTTATGCAAATTCATGAAATCCAATATCCATGAAAATATAATTTTCCTTCATCCACAGAAATAAATGATGCTACTGTTGCGATAACTTGAATCGAGTAATCTCTTTTTTTTTAACAAAATTATAAACATCCTTTTACACATGATTTAAAATTTCATCTGACATATTTAGTTATTTTAGGCTCAACATGCATAAAAGTCTGAAAACTGGGAAAATAACCTTGTTTTGAAAGATATTTTGCCTGATAGAAACAAATTGTATTATCTTTGCCACATATGGACAAATGAATAAAAGGAAGAAGAGAATTATGGCAATGAATATATCCTGCCTGGTAAAATCTCAAATACTTGTCCAAGACAGGATGACAATAATAAAATAAATATTCTGCAAAACAAAAATCAAAGAGATAATTGTGTGCAAAATAATAAAATAAATGTTAACACAGCAAAGCCATGCAAAATAAATAAGCTGTCCTAGTAACAGGAGAAAATGAATATTCTGCCCTCTGTGAAAATCGAATTGTTGTCTCCCAATGTGATGTCATAGGCCAAATTTAAATTGCTTTTGCAACTATAGGTTGGGCAGAGGGTTTGCAAGCAAGTGGAAATGTATGTTCCCAAAATTGAGGAAAGAAGAAAAGTGAGTGTTATTTGGGTCACATGACACAAAAATCAATTTTCTCAATTTTCAAAATAGTGATAAGATCTATACTAATGAAATGGAGAATAAACACGTCCAACCTTCTACTGATGCTGCACATCTAATTGTGCAATTTTTTTTATATCCAAATTACTTGCATTACAATGCATGTAGGATGTTTTCAGCATTTTCCATTTAATTACCGTGGATTCCTTATTGTTCATGCGGTACCAATTTCGTAGATTTCATTAGTATAGGTGACCGGAGAATTTAAATGTTCATCAAAGTAGAAATTTTATATAGGCTTGTATGCAGATTTTTGCAAATTCACAAAATCCAATATCCACAAAAATAAATGAATCTACAGTATTTTTGACCTAAATTTTTTTTCCATAGAAATTGAAATTGTTCAAGGGCTGTTGCCTGACAAGTATCTTCTAATATCTGAGAATTTTCAATACATATACAGTAATGATGAAATTGAAGGTTCTTATATAAGAGTTTTTTGTTATTATTTCGTGTAATGTACATTTAAAACTTAATTCAAATTAAATTCAGTATTTCTACTTTCTACATGTCAAGCTATAGATAGTTATTACTTTTATGTTTCAAATTTGATTCATTTAATGCAAAAATTATAGACATGCAAATTTACAATGTTCTTACATTTAATTGTATCAAAGAAAATTTTCATAAAACAGAGAAAAATAGTCTTTAAAACATTGATATATGACACTTCTGTAAAAAAAAAACGCTTTGAAATATAGGCAACATCAAACAATTCATTTCTTTGTAAAAGCAAAAAAATCTGAAAGCAGATCTGCAATCATCAATACTTTGAAAATCTCAAGATAAAAGACAGAAATTTCAAAACAGTAAAAAAAATCAAATTCACATTTTCTGACATTTAGACAAAACTTAATTTTCTTACCTTTATTT